CTTCAACGAGATTGGACTCATGACACATTTCCTCTTAATAATCGATTTTGTACAGATTGAATTAAGTCCTGAATTCGATTATTTGAAGCATCTAGACAGGCTCAGACAAAACTATAGATAAAAATCCTTAACCATCTCTCTGCTAACATTAAGTTTTTCATTGATTATTCAATTGAATAGAGGTCTCTAGTGGTGATTTTTTTTTTCATATGACATTTAGAGTAACTTAACATATATTTTAATTTTTTCAAGTCGTATCGACAAAGAATGATTTTTCACATTTAATGAACGTTTAAAACTCCAGCGAACAGAAAGATTTTACTTTTTTTTTCTTTCAGAATATCATAGATTCCTACCAAAAAAAGGATATTTACTAGAGGCATATATATATATACTGTTTATCCTACGAATGATAAACAAAATTATTCTTTTAAGAAAAGGTTAATTTAAAAGAAAACACATCATACTTTTTTGTCTTTTATGTGAGCGTCAAAACAACAACAACAAAAAATGAAGCATTCATGAAATAAGTACAATCATTTTAAGTCGATCATGGCAGAATAAGTGTTTTTTTTGTTTTCTTTTTTTTATTGAATAAAATGATCAAGTTTGCAGAGTGAAAAAAAAGCAATTTAATTCACACATGCATTTTGTTAAAGATGCAATTTCAAGTTGAAAATCAACGATCAATACAAGGAGTCAATCTTATTAGTATAAATCGATCTGAATCATCACAAGTAAATACATAAACGTTAGAATTATTAATCTGTTGTTTAGCTTGTTGATTTTCATGTTTATATAATATCAAAACGAATTTGGAAAAATTGTCAACCTTTAGCTGAAAATGAAGTAATGAAACACGTTATGTCACTATAGGTTTTGTTCAGTAAGTAATTTTGAATAAATTTAAAAAATATATGTTAACGATTGTAATTTTAATAGTGTTGCTGAAAGTTTAACTCTTGATGAACTTCGTCAATATTTTTATTGATATTTGTGGTGAAGAAAATTAATTTTCAAAAAAATTTATTTATCTTCGAAGTGTTAATCAGTTCTTAACTAAGATTGAACATGATGAAGAAAAAGAAATCAAATTAATAGATTATCGACCACCAACGGTTTGTAGATTATTAAATATTTAAAGTAAAAATCATTCAAAAATTCTACGATCTTTATCTCAATTTTTCTTTCTCAAAATTTCCAGTGTTTTATTCCGGGAGGAGCGAGCAAACAGACAAAACATTCATAGTTGATTCATGAATGGGAGTTTGAAGAATCCGCACTTATATTCTCTCAAATTCTTTTGAGACGCAAAATAGTAGGATTCAGAAGGAACATTAAATCCTGATTATAATTCATTTTTTTTCAAATTTTGGCAGGGTTCTTAGCAAAACTAAAACACAAGTTAGACTTTTGTTCAATCACTTTTCAATTACCCATTTATAGTTTCGTATTACTTAATTACAGAAACAGTTGACATAAAATAGCCTCGAATCATTAGAGATTTTTCTCATTATGCCTATTGATTTTACTGTCTATCTAAAGACAATAGAATGTTAAGAAAAATAATTAAACCTAATTTCGCTTTTCGATGCTGATATAACAATCAACATAGAGATAGCATAGAAATCAAGGGGGAAACAACTGACTTTATGACTTAAATGATCTAAGTGATCTAAATGACTTTATAGTCATAAAAGTCAGTTGTTTCCCTCTTGAATTTTGTGCATGTTCACTATGGCTGTTGAGTTTCCGTTAGACAAATGAAACAGACAAATAATTTTCAATTGTCTAGTTGTTATCGATATTCATAAACACGAAAATCCTCAATACTTGAAATCGAAATTGCGACGCAATCTGGTCAATTAATATGCGCATGATATTTCTGAAACTCAAAAAGTCGTCGTCGTGACAAGCGACCACTATGAAAAATAATCAGACATTATTGTTTTTCCGATTCTAATTCATTCATTCATTCTAAATGCGTGTTATCCTCAAAGAATTGTGTATGTTCAAAGAGACTATAAGAAACTCACATATTCTACAGAAATTCAATGGTATGAATATCATTGATACATAAAGAATCAAATCGAAGCACTGAACGCTGTTTGGTCTTATATTTTAGCTAGGAGAACTCTGTGAACCTAAGAAAATCATAATAAGATTCGCGATCGTAATCTGTACACCAGGAGCTATGATTGTTTTACTGAAAGTTTAACAAAGTCGTTGAAATATTGAATTGCAAAAACTGAGGTCTGAGATTTTTATCCAAGATACGTTTCATAGACTTCATAATACTATTAAAGTTTTAGCTATCAACAATATTGCCTTAGCAAGATAGTAAGTATTCATGTAAATTCGGTTTGCGTTCGAGGCCATTGACATATAATCAGGTTTTGAAACTCCAACATCACAGCAAAAGAACAATAAAGTTGCAGTTAATACTTTCAGGGAGCTATATGAACTACCAGACTTGTCTAAGTACTAAATTGTAGACGTAAAATTCACAAGATAACATTCTCGATGAATATATCTACGGATACGCACGAAATTTACCAAAGGAGTCCTAAAATTTTATCCACAGGAGATGATCACGAACAATAGTGAAGTTAGGTTTCTGGCAGAGATGAAGCGATGAGTAAAAATGAATTTGAAGGCCCATTCGATCTAGTAAAAATTAGTTTTTCGTTCGTTGTTGACCGTAAAAATTCTGACAGAAGGAACGATCACTTCGTTGTCCTCCTTTCTAAGGTTGCTACTGGTCGCGAGTTAGACTAGAGTTTTCTTAGTTTCACTGAGTCCCACTCATAACCAGAATATGAAGTTGAGTAGCATCCTACAGTTGAATATGTTTCTCTGTTGATCTTGTTTTTCAATATTTTCGGTTTGAAAATATTCGTCGCTTTTTTCATTTCTAGTTTTACTAGACGTTCATGATCACCAGATTCTCTCATAATATTTATTTATCTACTTTTTGATAGAAGGTCGAATGTTCGTTTAATTCTAAATTGTATTTTCGTTTTTTTACGTCAGTATCATATGGATGCAGAACCTGAAATCCAATGTGATTGCTGAAGATCACGTTGGTTTCTAATCAAGAACGACATATTGCGAGAGGCGGCGATAAGATGGACATATTATGAAACAAATCGAACCGTAGACTACTTGGCTTATGTGTTGTTCAGTTGAATACTTAAACTAAAAGCTATGAGCCGACATAAAACGGAGATGAGTGTTCTTTTGGATATCTCCTAGCATGTTATAAGTTAGGAACATAGTTGAGATCAAATTCTCGAAATATAAAGAGATACAAATCAAAAAACAAGAAGAGAGACTATCGATATTCTCTATCATTCAGATCATTTAAGTCATAATAATCATTGAAGCCCTGTAGTTAGGTGCTTCCTCCTTGCATGAGATGCTAGGGAACTTGGCTCCACGACTGCTTTCACTATTTCTCAATGTCACATGTAAAAATCTCAAGTAATAATGGAGTGTAAAACAATAAACATGATGTAAATCAACAACAATTTTCAATCTTTCAGATTATCTAAGTCAAAAAAAGTCATGTCAAGTCATTTTAATTATTTAAGTCATGAACTCCGTTGTTTCCCTTTTGTGAATTACCCTATTCCACAATGCTTTCTGGGTGATCTTTGGTTAATTGGCTGAAATCAGGGTCTCAGAAAAACCCTTAAATTTTTTGAACCGAACAAGCTAGAAAGGTGGATCATACGTAGATCGAAACAAAATTTTTCTATCAGAAATGTGAATTAACAATTCAGGCAGATTGCGAAATGGTTCAAAGTATCGTGTTCAACATGTCCCTCGAAAATGCATCTGATCGGTCAATTGCTGACCACTCAGATTTTAGCGTATGTTGACGTGCCTAGGTTTTTCTCTTTTTAATGATGAAAACCGCAATTCACTGCCTTGCTCCTATCAAAAGTTATTCGAAAAAAATCTACCCGTCTTTGTTTTTAAAATGGTTAATTGTTATTTTCTATGCATACTTTGGTAAAAATCATTGTTTTTCTATCATGCTTGAAGCGAATATTGATATGTTAACATATGAAGAGAGTCTAGACGAATATTGACTAACATCCTCTTTCAAATATTCTCAGTTATTGATGACTTTGAGCAACTTTCGCGATCTAAATGATCTAAGTGATCTAAATGACTTAAAGTCAGAAAAGTCAGTTATTTCCCCCTTGATAGAAATAGATCACACAAGAAGGGCCTAGAAGTGAAAATAGGGAAATTACTGATGTATATTTATTCTAAACTTAGAGTACACTAAGTTTTAGGAAAATTTTACTGTATGGGAGAGAAAAAAATATGACTCTGTTGTGTTAATTTACGAAATCTCGTCAGGCTAGTAGCAGTGAATGGTGTTCAGACATTAATTTCGTAACTCTCTTCGTTGAAAAAAAAGAGATCAATCTTGTCATTGGCCTAATTATGAAATTTATTCCCAAGAAATGTCTTCTAAAACTACTGAGTAGCTTAAATTTGATAAGTACATTTTTTTTTAAAACTTTTTTGATATAAATTTCGGGTGGATCTTCCTGAGTAAATACAAAATAATCTCCAGACATCTGTTTACCATGGGCTTTAACGACAATTTACTAGTCCAGGCAAAGCAAAGACATTTAAAACAGTTAACTATTGTTATTTTCTAACCTATTATGTAGATATTCACCAAAGACATTTTTATTTTGGAATAATTGAAATATATCATGTTAACAATAAAATCTTACTTTATTTTTTATGAAGAAAAAGTCCACTGTGGAAGGGTTAAAAGTCGTTTATATGGTCATTTAAATTGCGAGCAAGTCCTTACATCATAAGATTTCATTTCCTGTACTCATTTAAGTCTGAAAGCAGTAATATGAGTAAAAGAATAAAGATCTATAAAGAAAAAAAAAAGATTAGCACAGTCTTAATTTCACATGAACGCGTACATTCTGTTTGTAAGTATATTTTTCTTTTTCTAGACAATGCCACCCGAAGTATGTTTTATTTCCTTTTTATCATTGATATAAATAAATAAAATCTTACAGATTTATATAGTTGAAAAACATGATGATGATGATTCATCCATATCAAAAGAGAGAATAGATTGTTTATTAAGAGAATCATTGATTAGTGAATCTTTAATTAGTTCACAAATTTGGATAAAATCAATGGATGGACCATCATTACTTTATCCATTCTTTAATCCTTATCAATTGTCACAGATCCTATCAGTTACTCGTACACTTTCAAAGTAAATATTTAATAAAAAATAAAATCATGAAAACTTCTTTTTTCTTTCTTAATCTAAAGATATTCGACGCATTCAGTTAAACCCAAGACACCGTAAAGAATCTATTTATTGACTATTAACTAAAGAAAATATTTATTATTCTAGAAATTTATTAAAATTATGTTAAGAACAAGAACGTCTTCATTTATATCAAAAAGAATTAGCTCGACAACGCCGTGAAATAGAAAAGCAACATAAAAAAGAAAAAGAAGTTATTATAATTCGAACCGCTTCTCGAATTTATCATTATCGACATTATTCAAAACAAAAACAATAGTAAGCTACTTCTTTCAATATTATTTAGACATTCAGACAAAAAAACATGATCTAAAAGAAGTATTGATTCATATGCAATCAAAGATTACACATGAATAATATTTTCTTATGAAAAATGAATGATCTGTTTATTGCATACCTAAAGAGTTAAACAAAACGATATGTATTGTAAAATAGAACCTTCCTGTGATTGTTCTAACAACCTTTCATGTATTTGCTCATATTAAATTCTATTTTTTTACAGTCACTAGTTACTTATTTGGCTCATCCTACAATGAAAGCGGCTTAAATTTTGACGGATGCTAATATATGAATTAGTGTTGCTTGTGCTTTTTTTGTTAGAGAAAAATTAAAGAACAATATATATTGTTTATTGAGTTTATTTTTTGGGAATTTTTTTGGTTTTAGAACTGATACGATGAAATATGAAAGAAATTAAATTGTAGACATTATATATACGAAAGTAAAACAAAGGATGGTATATCAATTGATTAGATAAAATATTGATTTTGTAAATGGTTTATATTGAAGTTGTTAAACTTTCAAATTGAAAGCAAAACATATGAAATTAAAAATTAGTCGTGCAGTACTTATTCATCAACTGAAAAAGTAACCAGTTGAGATTATTATCTAATGAACAGAAAGTTTGAGGAAAAGAATTTGTTGTAAATATTGTTCTTCTATAGAAAACCAATTCATTAGATATTAAAATTCAACTTGAAGAAGCTACAAATCGATTGAATGAGGCTACTAAGATATCATAAAATAAAGAGATATAGAGGTTATGATGTAACCGTTGTCAAAAGAATCATATCAAACAGCATAAATATTTTGCTTTATATAACGTCGAAGTATTAACTTGAATTTAATCTAATGTAAAAATATTCATATGTTATTTTTCATTAATACATTTGTTTCTCATATTTGATTCATTCATATGTCCTCCATTATTTAACTGGCAATACTTAAAGTGATCTAAAAGTCATAAATAAACATGTTACGTGTTTTAGACGTGCCAGTCGACTGGTCTAGCGATAATAGATGGGGTGTGAGTGTGGGCGTGTGATTAAATAGATATTTTTTAATCCACATCCTTAATTAGTGAACGCAGAAATCGTGTTACAAGATGCCTAAGTGAGAAGAGCAAAGTGGATGGAGTTTACGTAAGTTCGATCACGCCTGGTTGTACAATTATTTGTCGTCTTGCAAGTAATCGAACAGTATTGTAATCAATTTATTATCGAGTAGATACAAAAAATTTTTACATCTATGCCAAGAAGTCTTCATTTTTTTTCATTCTTGAGATTAAAGAGTTCAGTATATATGCGTAATATTGTTTTGTTTACTAAGTACTGAAAAATGTGGCATCTTTGATCTTGACAATGCAATAGGAGAAAACTCTCACATATATTTGAAATTTTTCTATCTATCTGATGATTTAACGGATCCAGTTTCGAGTAATTTTTGGAATAGTAGAACTTCAGGTGTAGGTGAATTGATGTGTGTATGAGTCTATCTTTTATCTAGAACCACACGTTCAAGTATCAGAGAATTTTCTAACATAAACGGACATTGATTAAACACTCATAATCAATCTTAGATAGACTAGAAGATTCTATTTCAGATTATGAAAATAGTATAAAGTTCAACTAAAATCTGATTCTCACATCAACGAATGTTTTTCTTCACTTCAGATTATTAAACACTTGTATATAGATCTAGTAAAGAATCTTTTTTTGCAAAACACATGATCTATGGAATTTGTTTATGAGAATCCGAATGTTTATTACATTACCTTTTAAGAATGAATTGTGACAGCGAATCATCTCCAATTTGACTAATTTTCTTAGGTGCTATATTCCGCATCAGTGTTCAACATGGATTAATTTTTGTGAAACAATCTGATGTTATAAATATCTTCTGGCCAGTCACAGCGAGTTTTTTTTCAGAGATTAAGCATCTATTTCAAATTTCACCTCTACGGCTCGTATCAGTACAATGTGAGTACTATCACATTGATGGTGGTGTTTGTGCATGCATTTTCATAGAAGCATTTTCACGCACAGAAATATAGGATCTGATCTTCTCCAAAATGCATTATCTGCTCTAATCTCAGTGAAACAGTTCTACGACTGATTTTCAATATTTGCTGATTGAACAGAGTTGTTAGTTTGACGATTTAAAAGACTATCAAGAGTTGTATGAAATCCATCTGTTTTATCGAAATTCGTATTCAATTATAACAAACATGTGACAATGGATAAAGATTATTTGTCGTTTGAATTCAATTCATATTTGAAAATTTGAATTAGAGTGGCATTTATAAATACCATGAAGAGTCATATTTAAATTCATCACTAAAGTTTAACTTCTCTTAGTCAAAGTCAAAAGTGAATGTCCTGAAGTTAGTATTAAATATTGTTTTATTAGGAAAAAAAAAGAAAAATTTAGAATGAGTACCATACTTTATTCGAAGTGGAACCAGCTATTTGTGAGCAGAACCACCTTAATATTCTTCATATTGATGGCATGACATTTTTGTATATTGACAACATTTTGTGGAAAAACTGTTTTGCTTACATTTTATGTTTTTTTTCTTTTTTAAGAAGAACTTTTAAAAGAATATTTCACTTATAAGTTTGCATTTTTACATTTTCTCATTGACAAACATGCTATTAATATTTCTTCTTTTCTTTCTAATATTCAATAGCATTATGGTCAAGTGACAAAAAGCAATTTTATAGGGTCATTGACATAGGCAACATAAAATTAACGATTACACTGAAAATCCACTGAATACCGCTTTACCAGTAAAAAATGGGATCTTACGTGTACCAGCAAATATAATACTTAGTAGCAGATAAAACTGAGACTGGTACATACCTATTTCCGCTGTCAAGCCAGCAAATTCACCCATTCATGGTTATCCTATTCGAAGCGATAGTATTATAGAAGTAAAATAGCCGAATCTCTATTTATACTTTAAATAAAATCTTGCTCATAAAAACGACTCTGGTACAGACACCTAGAAGGCAAAAAATGTCGGTTACTCATTTATTAACTTAATGCAACAGGTTAGACTATGATTTTTCACAGTAAAGTATTTTTGAAATTTCACTCTGGTAGTTTTTGTCTATGAAATGATAGAGTATGCTAATTTTATCTTAGAGCCTGTCGAAGATTTGTTGTGAAATTTTTAAATAAGTAGAAATCTTTCTTTTGAATAGACTGAAAAATTCAACTTCAGATAGTATTTTGTTTAGAATTTGACAGTATTCGTGGTTTTTACAATACAGTTGTGTTAAACACTTGACTCCATGACAAAAGTATGACTATAAACTGAGGCCAAATCAAAGTAATACGTTAGAGCTTTTCAGAAGATCAATATAAAAATGATATTCATCAAAATGTTGGAAAGATGAAATCGTCTAGAGAAGGAACAAAATCAGAGCTATCATAATTGAGAAGGAAGAAAAAGAGATGAGCAACTCGTGTCATTTCTTCTCTTTTTCTTTCTAGCAGCTATTTCTGAATAAATATCAAGGCAAAGAACGATGAAACTCTCATTTTTTTTCCATCCTCGTTGGTTCAAAGAGTACAATGGTAGCTAGTCATATTATATGACACGCGAACCATTAGTGCATTGGTGCTGTTATTCCCTCGCGGAAGCGTTTCTGGAATAAACGAGAAAGAAAGGAAGAAAAAGAGAATAACATCGTTTCTCTTCATATAAAGGAACGTGTTTGACTTCAGATTACTATTCTTCGTTGTCAATCTTATTTTTATTATTGCGTGTTTTTCTCTTTGTTTGAAGTATTACAATGGGTGGTGGTAGTTCGAAAAAACCGTTCAATGAATGGGATTTGATCCAATTCAGCAATATTACTGGTGAATATTGAACTATTCTCTTTATCATTGTTCATAAAAAAAAAATTTTCGATGAACTTAGGTATTCCTCTATCGATGGTCGAAAAGATCTATAAAGATTTTCTTATCGCCAACGGAAACGACAACAAAATAGACAAGAGAGAATTTCGTCGTTTATACAAGAAAATGTACATAAATAGTCAACCTAGCAGTCTTCCCAGCGCTCTACCACCATTGCTCAGTGAACACCATTTGGATAAGATGTCGGATCATGTATTTGAAACTTACGATTTTGATGGAACAGGTATGATCTTCATCATGCCTCATGAAATTATTTCATTAATTGTTTTTTGTAAAATTCAGGAAAGTTGACATTCGAGGGTAAATCAATGTTCAAATGGTATCTTTCATTAGATACAATCTAAATTTGCTTATTAATAGAATTTGCTGAAGCTTATCTGATGCTCACTCATTATCCAGGTACATCGACAAAAAATGTTACATTTCGTGATCGATTTAACTACATCTTGGATCAAGACAACCCAACACCTGGTAAAAAAATTCTTTCTTTTCTTTTTTAAGATATCTTGTTATTTCTCCATGTATTTACAGATTTTATCACACGTGAAGAAGGTGAACGGGTGTTCAATCGCCTCAATAGATATAACAAGTCAGTGTTTCTAGTTTTATTGTTTCATTTTGATCTTTGTTTCATCAAATATGTTTCTCATTTCTTGTTCTAGTTGGATAAATTCGAAAGCCACAACATCCGCTGACACGTCGAAACCGGTAACTAATAGTTGGGAATCTCATTGGAGCAAGCTCGATGATGATAGTGACCGGTAAGTATTTGTTTTTACTTTTTCTATTCTCATCATTTATCTTACTTCGTTTCCAGTGTGCCGAAAGAGAAGTTTGTCGACTATATCACTACTTTGAATGATTACAAACATCATTTCGATCCTGCAACAGTCTCAACTGAAACATGCCATTGACAACTACAATCTAACAGACTTGCTTTTTTTTTCTTATTTTTCATTCTATGTCATTTCATCTCATATATTACAGTATATATATTATTTTTAATCTAGCCATAAATTCATTTTTTTGATTTCTTTTTCCAAAAGTGGCAATGTCGAAAGACTCAACACTTTTGACTTCAAACATTGGTATCTTTGCTATAATAATAAATGATGGATGTCTTCATGTTGCTACTTTATAATTATTTATTTTCTGGTTATGTTCACATAAAAAAGCATAGGAAAATTCAATGCTCTTACCTTCAAATTGGCATCTCGTGTCTCCTCCAGAAAATTCAAGATTTCCGTGTTCGACATTTTTTTCGGGATTTCTGTTTCTGTTCCTTTGTACTTTATTGAGATGCACGCCCTACACCCAACACAAAGCTAATATCTTTCGAATGATTACATTCTCATCCTTATGTGTGACCAAACTTAGTTAAGGCATCTATAATATTTTGGGACGATAAAAATGATTCAGTGAATGTATGCCTCAATATTGATGTTCCAATTAGCTATTCTGTCAAATAATAATACATTATAACATTGGATCGAGTTTTGTTTCGAAGTTTCATCGAATAGCTTGTTTGAAAAATCATATCTCTGAATGAATGAATATTCATCTTGCATGTAAGAACTAAATGCAAGTTAAAGAAATATTGAAAGATACGCCGGTCAAGTCTATTTTATCTATTCTATTTTTTTCAACGAACCAAACGTATATATTTGACACTTGTATGTGTAGATAACAAATCGTCCGATTTTCGCGCCATTCTCTTCCTTAGAAAATATATAAATAACATCAAGAGAATATTTTTTTCTATTTGGCTTATTGTAGTGACATGCTGGTGTTGTTTGTAATAAGTTTTTGTACAAGTGTCTTGATTCCCATACGAGCGCTTACACCTTACAAAGATTGCAGATCCGAAGCTGGTGTTATTCAAAGTTTTGATATTTCCGGTTGTACTACGCCGCCGTGCATATTTATTAAAGGTCATACATATTCCATGAATCTAACATTTGTAGCAAAAGCTCCATCGAAAACGGCAAACATTAGTATTTATGGTAATAAAACAGAAAATAGTTGTTGTTTTAAATAAATTTTTGCAATCCTAGGTATTATTAACGGACAACCTCTTCCCTTTCCAGGTAATAAACCGGATGCGTGTGAACTCAATTGTCATTGTCCAATCAATCAAAATGATGTCAATTCAGTTTTATCGTCATTAGATGTACTTGAAATTTATCCACCTATTTCACGTTATGTTCAAATTGTACTTATAGCTAATGATCTACATGCAAATTATTCTTGTGTTCTATTTCCGGCAACTACTTAGTAAAAATGGTTTTCATTCAGACCAATATATCGATTGATGACCACCTAAATTTGTAAATTTTTTAATAAAAATTCAAAGACACAATCATTATTTTTCTGTTTTTATTTTAGCCTATCATTTGCGAGTAAATTTCACTGTCTTGAACATTCAACTGTTTATTATTGAAGAATGTCATTATCAGACATTTAGAAAATAGTGAAGGCGAATGTTGCAGTACCATACTCTTCAAATTAGTTTATCAAAATAAAAGATTCTTATACATAAGATTAGCATGGATAAGATCAGAGTTAAATTGCCTTCTAACAGTCTTTGTTCAATGCGAAAATGACAATAAAAAGAAGTAAACGATTGATCTCTTGTTTTATCCATATTCTCTTACCCTTAGGAGATTGATACTTGTGAGTGATTGATTTACTCTTCTATAATGTTTCTTCTATCATTAATATTGAATATACGGGTTTCCAGAATCGTTCAGAGAATAGCGACAGGGAATTCCACAATCTCAAGAGATTTTCATTTTCCGGAGCAATTTTCAAAAATTCATCAATCTTTTCTCTAACAAAAACTCGGTAGATTTTACCGAAAATCTTCTAATCGATCTTTTTTCACGAATTCGATATATGCATTTGACGAAACAGTAACTCTTCTATTCATTTCAATGAAGAAATGTTGAAAACAAAATTGGTATTGGAAAAAACATGATTGTAGAAGTCAATGTCAAGTGTTGAGTCCGAAAAGATGCAAAAAATGAATTGGATGAGTACATTATAGCTTCGAACACGTCACATAAATTTGGTCAATATTCGCGGCAATTAGACGGTTCTACATGGTTGACAAGATAGATGTAGTAATCAACGAAATATTAGTGTGTGTATGGATGTGAGTGTGAATGAGAATATGAAGAGAAAATTCATTTCACACGCCCATACGCTGATGTTTCTTACGTCTTCTAATCCATCGTAATACTGCACCTAAATTCACACTTTTTTCTCTCAGCATTTATGAGAATATTGATGGAAAAGCAGTTTTTGAAGCGTTGATCAATGCTTATCTTAATAAAAGGTAGCTTGCCTGGAGTACAAAATGCATGTGTGAGAGAAAAATAGACGTGATCGTTTAGGCATTAACATGATATAAATATTTTAGTTGAGTACTCTTAGCTATTTGGCCAAATGTATTAGACCTTTTTACTTCAGCCATATAAGGATGAGTGGGAGGAGGCGACTTGCGGTTAATAGCATTTGAATCCTCTATAGCGTATGTATTGCTTGTATATAATCTTACTGTATGTGAAGGGCGAAACCCATATTGAGATAACAGTTGGCAATGTCAAGGTGACCATGAGTAAGGAATTTCCTGACTATTCGGTGCTGCTATCCTTCTTTTCGAAACATACGCGAACTTCCTCGTTTGTCTTCTGTTCTGCAAGCCCGCAGAGCCAATGTTATCCAGGAGTTTTGTAAATTTCTCACGATTGCCATCATACACTTGCTTTTAAATATCAAAGGCTTTACAGTAAGGATAGTGGATGTTTCAAGTCTCTTTTGGGCCTGTATACATTTTTCTAGTTATTATGATTATTGCCAATAATTGCATTTGTGGGAGCTAGTATCCGCTCGTTTATTTTCAAAGCTTTTATGTAAATGTTAAAACTCCCGTCGTACTTGCCACATTCAAAGTTCTCGGGCAACTCTTTAAGGTATTTCATGAAATAGTTTTTTACAGCGTCAAATTCACCTGATGCAGAAAGAAGTGACAGCAACGTGTATAGATTATTCTTTTCGCCCACCTCCTGTCTCATATATTCGTAAAGCTCCTTTAAAATATTATCTTTGCTGCTGCAGAAAGATAAATTAACAAAGTAAATTCCATTTTTATGCACCCAAGAGATTATTCTGGTACTTGTCCCACGCGAATCAACGTCGATTTCGAACAGGACACAGTTCACGCAAACCGTCACTTCCGTCGAAATCGAATAGAAAAAAAATGTGTAATCTCAGTTGGTATTCGAAGGAGGAAAGAAATGGATTGATAGAAATGAGTTCACCCATAGAATGTTGTAGATCAAGTATTACTTCTTGTGACATTAATTGAGTCCGATACACACGAACCCGTGAAGGCAGTTGTTCCTTGCTCAATTAATATCTAATATCATGAATAGCTGACCGAAAATAAATGAGAACAACAATTTTTTTGTGAAAACCCTTGTTCAGCATTCGATAGACCAAAGACTATCGTGAATACCTCGAAAACGAGAACGATCAATCGGAATGTTGATAGAATGATACTCTAGTGTATATTTACCACCAAAAGGCTCGTTCCTTTTAATAATCTAATTCGAACGTCAGCAAACGACCCAGTTTTACTGAATCATCTTTGTATACAATGCGACAAAACTCAAACAGTTGTTTTTGTGATGAACTTGGCTCCATTTCAACAAGAATATCAATGAGCAGCTGAAATAAAGTAAGCTACCAGCAATGCCAATTTATGATATTTTGAAAATATTGATTAATAGAGATTCTTCAACTTTTACTTGCTTAGCTAGTCCTGCAGTGATTAGAGCCATGAAGTCGTCGAGTTGAATTCTCATACATTTCACCTGTACATCAAGAAGAATGTTGTTGGCAAATACTGTTGCAATATAAATTCCTTTCATGTAATTAAATATACACTGTTCGGAATTATTTTTCTCTTCTGAATTATAAATATCAATCACTTAAATCTGTCTCAACTGATGAATGAGAGGAACGATAATTCGTCCTAATTTGACACTGACAATTAACGTGATGTGATCGTTAATGACCAATTGAATGTGCTTCATACATTCGTCTATTCGCACGAATATTTGACAATTTGTTATGAGGAAAAGCATATATTCGACGTTTGACGAATTATTACTAGGATCGAACTAAACAACAAAGAATCTTTCAAAATCATTAGCAATAGTTAAAAATGGCAATGGCAACTCATCTACAGTACTTGTAATTATCTTCGTATGCATGGAATTTGTAACTGAGTTGAGTAAACAATGATCATTGCTTGTTTTAGTCCGTCGCAAATTTTTGTCCAAAATCGCTTTCCTTGAAAGAATCGAAATATTCTTTGTCCTCTCCCAAAATGTTGCACAAAATATGTAGATAACACAGAGGAGTATGAGTGGGTGTGGATGTGAGGGTGAGTGTGCGGTGTGGATGTGTGGGGTGTCGGTGTGGGTATGGCTGTGGGTGTGTGGTGTGGGTGTGGATGAAGAAGAAATCAACACCCACACCCTCACTCACACCCACACCCACACCCTCACTCACACCCACACCCACACCCACACCCACACCCTCACTCACACCCACACCCACACCCACACCCAACACCCACTCCTACATCCACCCCACACCCTCACTCACACCCACACCCACACCCACACCCACACCCCACACCCACACCCACCCTATGAATGAAGTTTTTGAATAGAATTCTATTCAAAAACTTCATTCATACTGACGAGTTTTTACGTCTTACTCTTCTACTTTTTCCATCGATTCAAGAGATTAGCTTTGAAGGTGATTTGTTGACAATTTCTAGCGGACTTTTATTTCCTAAAAGCAAATCAGTTACATTTTCTTTTTATATAGTCGAGGCTCTTTCGCCACTGTTGAATACGATGGTGATTGGCAGGTAATGACCGTTGTCCAATATCAGCAGCTTGCTGATGAAATTGACGTGCTTTTGAGTATTGACACATCTTACCATACACGAAACCAATACTGCTGTAGGTTTGAGCTAAATCAGGATGATTCGACGGAAGTATTCTTTGCTGAATTTCTAGTGCTTTTTCGTGAGATGAAAGTGCGTTCGAATAATCGCTCATCTTTTCATACACAGAACCAATGTTATTGTGAGAATAAGCTAAGCTGAGATTATTTGAAGGATCTATATTTTGTCGAATTTCAAGTGCTTGTTCATGAAATAAAAGGGCTTTTGAGTAATCACTCAGTTTTTCGTAAACAGACCCAATGTTGCTGAATGTAGATGCCAAGCCAGAATCATTCGAAGAAAGTTTTTGTTGAATTTCAAGTCCTTTTTCGTAATACAAAAGTGCTTTCGTGTATTCATTCATCTTTTCATATACTGAGCCGATTTCATTAATGGAAACAGCAAACGAATGATGATTTGGAGGCATGACTTTTTGTTTAATTTCAAGTGATTTTTGATAAAATGTAATGGCTTCCTCATATTTTCTTTGATTTTTCTTGCTCCATCCAAGTTGATGATAAAAATGTGTTTTCTCACGATCATTATATGTCTGATCAAGAAGAAATTCGTATAATTCATTGGCCTTATCAAATTGGCCCATTTTAATTAACAATTTACCCAGTCTATCCCATTCAGTCGATCCTCGAATCTCATTACGTATCCGTTCAGTAAGATCATTTAGCTGCGGATCATTGTCATTGATCTGTACTAAGTCTACCTGCCACAGGCGATTATCGTTGTTGATCTGTATAATACTGCCAATACGAAAAACGGTATGCATCGAGAATAGAATCTCTTCTTCTGTCTTGTAGTAACCCACGTCGTTGATACAGGCAAAAGAAGTGGACTCTATTGAAGGATCAATTGTCATCACGAAGATTATTCCCACTGAGGCTGGATTAACAAGAGAACTACTAGCAAAACTAAGAGCTACACTTAGTTCTTTGCTCGTAGACAAAAAATTGTTAAAAGATATCAGTCCATCTTGTGTTTCCAGCATTTTATCCAAGTCTGTCTTGGGTAAACCTTGACCTCGAAAGATAGTAAATGGCTGCAATTTATGGTGCTCACTAAATTGTTTTGAGTGTAGTTGTACGATCTGATGATGAAGATCGCGAATGAAAAAACCCATTTTGATGATCGTATCAACTTCCATCAGACGTAAAGCTCGGTTAAGCACCGAGTAAAGGCAGCATTCATGAGTATACCACCAGATGGGCGAATGGCTATCATAATCTCTTTCGAATTTGTCGATATTCTTCAATTGAACAGTATTATCAGCAAAATTTTCGCGATAGTAGGTGGTAAAGTCTTTCAGATGTTGTTCATTAAAGTTAATTGCCAATAAAATTTCTTTCAGTATCTGTGTATACATAAATGTTGGCTCCAGTTGATCCAAATTTTCATTTAACTTCGCACTATTTGTTGAAACAAAGCTGATCGAAACCGAATTTTGATCACATTTTTGTGCATCTTGTTTCAGCGCTTGGCAGATGGACGAAATTGAAGGAAAGATGTCCTTCACTTTTGGCCATTGTTGTGTCCATTGTTTCTGTTTTGATCCATTTTTACAAAAGACGTAAATAGAATTGATTTGAGTCAAATCGTGAATGAGAGGCACAATATTTTGAGCAAATTCATCTGAAATAATCATCAGGACTTTTTCGTCTTTAATGTCAGTAACAAAATCGGTGCATTGATCAACATCCGTAAATGTATTGACAGCATTAACAACTCGTCGTAGTTCGATGATTGAATTATGAAACTCATTGTCTTTCACTCCGTCAATATCAGAATGTAACCATATCAGGATGAAGTTTTGAACGATACGAGAATTTAATGGTCGATATGGCTTTGTACTAGTGTGTCTAGATATCGCTGTTGTAATTGTATCGTTTGAAGATATAGCCTGATTTTTAGGTCTTTCTATGCCAATGAAATGGCAATTTTCTACTTGTTGACTCATATTCTTATTGAATTGGGTATATGCCGTTGAATTAAATAATCGAAAAAGAAATGACGATGAAAGAAAGTAAAAATTTTCTTTTGTTATAACTTGCGTTCTCCTTTTTCAGAAGTGATCTGTTCGTCGTCGTTCTTTTATTTTTTTATTTTGTTGCCATTGAAAGACTTCACCTGTTTCTTATTCAATATATTATCACAAAAACAATAATAGATTAACAGAAAAGTTGGCTGGCAATAATGGACGAACGAAAAAGAAAAGTGAAGGTTTGTTATTCTGGTCAGCATTACTAATAAACAATAGAATTTTATAACAAAAACACCTTCCTTTTCTTCATTGTTTTTTCCTCAAAGAAACTCTCGAAGAGAGTAGGTATGGATGTGGGTAGGCGTGAGTGTTGATGTTGGAAAGAACTACATTCGCATCCACACTCACATCCTATTAGATTGTAAAGGCGTTTTCTCGTTCGATAAAATCATTCAAAAATATTAGTGCTTAGATTTTTACAAGAGGAAATATGTAAGTTTGGAACTTCCAGAACCTGTTTGGCATCTTCAGCACCTTCAATGCTTTCTTCAGCACCTTGCGGTAAAACTTGGTGCTTAGGTGCTGCCAAGGTAAGTGCACCTCCCAAGCCCCATATTTCACCACAAGATGTTGAAAATAATTTTGAAGGTGCTGAAAGACGCCGATAAGGTACTGAAATACTCGAGGTTCTAAGCCTGCGCTTATCCTCTGGGTTAAACTACTTAATCGAATAAGCTTCAACATTTGAGATGTCTTTCACTGTTGACAATAATGAACATTTCGGGATGCAAAAGTTCTGTGCTTGATTGCTTCAAAAGTGACTGCCGTACTAACGTTGCATTTTGTATCTGGATAAGTAACACAGATGTGGGTGTAGGAGTAGGGTTCGGTGTAGGTAAGTAAAAGATTGATACCCATCCATATCTTTGATCAAGCAGAAGTATTTTCTAAAATATTTCATTAATATTGCTACCGCTGAATTTTTTTGCGACTTTCGATTTTCTTAAGAGTAATAAGAATTATCGAAGGCTTTTTTTCTCATAAACAATATTTACTATGAGCAATCGTTTGATAGTATTTAAAGTGTCTTATCACTTAATAATTTTCATTTTATGTTGTATAACATTAATAGAACAGAGGACTATATGTTGATTACGGAAGTTCGGGAGGGGGGGGGGTACAGGTGAAGTGGAGACTCAAACCCATACTCTCGCCATGAAATTAGGTAATTATCCTCTTAGATTCTTTATCGAAGAACACTCATGTTCTCCATCTTCTTACATATCCAGAAAATCAAAAATAAGGGGGAAATGAATGAAGCTGCTGACCACACCTCTTGGACAGATGCGTTTATAATGGCATCATCTTTACGGAATATGAATGTCTGTAATTGATTTTCAGTACGAAATATATAAAACTCATCCATTAATTTTAAGTTAGAGTTAATCTGAAAAAAGCATCTTCAAACCTGTCTTCTATCTATTGATATTTATTTTCACAAAAGAGGTATCTCAATCGTGTCTGACCTTTTCATTTCACCTTTTGAGCATAAGTAGATTTCAGTGATACAAAGAAAATTCTGTGACCACTGATGTCTCTGATTTTTTGCTTTCCAACTATCATCAAATCTTTTTCAAAAAAAAAAGAACTTCATCGCTTCGTCTTTTTATTATGTAAATAAAATTATTCGATAACAAGTACTTGACTCTTGAATCTACTGTAGCAAGAGCTGAATCAAGTGCAACTATACCAATTAGTAATTATTGATCAATATTTTGTTCTTCATGATCAATTTCAAGATTTTCATCTTTTTCATTCGAAGTTTCACTTATTTTAGTCGAAAGAGTTGCTGATTTATTTCTGTGTTGCTGCACCGTCTAACTAAAGTGTTGCTAAATGGAAGGCCCACCAAACACGAAAAGTTTAAGTAAGAAAAGGTTGTGAAGTGTGGGTGCATTTTTTCTCTTCGCCCACATCCACCCTTGAACAGTAGTTCGATATCCATCACAAGCATGAAACAATTCAAGATATGACTCCAACATGTTCTGTAAAATAAAATTCCAATTTTTGCATGCTATTCAATGCACTGCTCGTATTAATACTACAGGAAAACAAAGCAATAAATATTTTAAGAATACAAAAAAATTAATAAAAACTTAAGAACTGGCTTAACGAATCCGATTTATTCTGGTAATTGAAAATGACTAAATTTTATCTTTACATCTTCTAAGATGTAGACGTTTGAATGAAAATGAACTGAAGAAATCCTGATGTATGAACTGAGAAGAGCAGTTACCGTTGTAATAATAGCGTATGTTGTAAATTTGATTTTACAACATATAATTATAGATTGAACAAAGAGTTTTGTTAAATTGCACAAATTCATATTAGAATGTACGATGAGGAGAAACGATTTTGTTTTATCGATTTTCGATATTTTAAGTGTTATAAAATAGTGAAAATTTTTATTAAGAAACAGATGTGACGATTCTTTCGTTTCTTATTCTTACAAATAGTTGGGTAATAACATTAAAAAATGAACGACAAATAACAAGAAAAAAAACTCTGATTACTATTGGCAACCAAACATGCACATTTTCATCACATTATATTTACAAATTCAGCCAGAATAATCAGCACAGTAGAAAAAAAACAAAGTAATGGCATCAATGATAAGGGTGTGGGCTAGGGTGTGGGTGTGTGTGGATGTGGGGTGTGGGTGTAGGTATGGGTATGGGTATGGGTGTGGGTGTGTGGGTGTCGGTGTGGTGTGGGGTGTGGTGTGGGGTGTGGGTGTGGGGTGTGGGTGTGGGTATGGGTGTGGGTGTGTGGGTGTGGGTGTCGGTGTGGTGTGGGGTGTGGGTGTGTGGATGTGAGTGTGGGTGCGGGTGAAGAGCATAAACAAACCTGCAGCCATAGCCACACACCACGCCCATGCCCGCACCCACCGACACCCACACCCCATATCCACTCACACCTGCACCCACCCACACCCCGCAGCCACCCACCCATACCCACACCCCAATAGGTAAATAAACTTGATCATTGTTAAAACGAAAAGGTGGTGTGCAACATATTCAATAAGCATATATATAGGCAAAAGATAATTGCAACAACACTTGTACTAACTATGACTCAAAGACACTGAAATTGTATTATTTTAATCTGATTCACATTGAGGTCGATTGATAAACTATCAAACTTAGCTCTAAAATCAATAAATCATCAAATATAGCATGAAGGGTATGGGTGCCGGTGTTTGGTGTGGGTTTCGGTTTCGGTTTCTGGATATGTATGTGGGTGATACTCTTTCGAGGAACCAAACGCGCACCTTATTCTTCTGATAATTTGATCTTGACAACCACCATTGGACTTCTTGACAAACGTCATAAAACAAGAAGACTTTAAAGATAACAGGTGTGGACAGATGCCTCACACGCAGCTATATCATAGAATAGTAGAAACAGTGTAAACGAGCAAATAATGCAGCTTTGTGTTTTGATAACATTATCAGAGAACAAAATTGCAATATTAGTTCATGTACTCTGTTTCTACGATTCTATCATATAGTTTGCGTGTGAGGCATCTGTCCACACCTGTTATCTTTAATTTTTTTGTGTGCTTGATAGCGTTTGTAAAGATGCCTAATGATGTTCGGTAAGATTAAAATAACTATCACAAGAATAAAATTCAAATTCGCTACGTTAATTATTAGTTTCATAATAGAAGTATATTGGTTAAAAGTAAAAGAAGCACAAAATTGTTTCCGATAACTCTACTCTATTCGGTCAAATGTTTGAAAGGTGCACCAAGAGCAAAAGTCGACTTTGAATTTTGATCGCGTTAAATACTACTTGGTTTGACAGAGCTTGATTTGTTCGTTCAAAATATTTATTTTAAATGTTTTTTTTCAACTAGTTTTGGTCCAAAATCTTCAAAATGCAAGTGACAACGAAAAATACCGAAAATTGACTAGTTCCGAACAAACTCTAGATTTGAACTGTAAGCCATCACTTTATTTTTTCGAAACTGATATTTTCGGATTCAGTGTCGAATATGGAGTATAATTGACTGTATTTAACGTAAGTTAATTACATTTCGTTCTTTAGGTGAACTTGGCTGTGCCCATTTAGACAGTGATGAATCTTGAAATCGTGCAAACCTATCTCCATATTAATCTCAACGGATAAAATCCTCATTTGTACACTATTCGAATCACCAGTCGATAAGGGAAAAAATTACGCATCCTTGCCTTCTTATTTCTCATTGACGCTACGAAAATCACATTTTTTTGGACATGTCTAATAGTACTCTAAAGATGCACATATTTGGAGATTGTGACTATCAAAATTCCAGCTTCAAATGAAATGCATGTGATATTCAAAATCAGCATGAGAAAATCGATCAAATGATATCGATTTTTGGGGAAAAAATTTTCAGTTGAAATTTGATCTATCCATTTCTGAGTTCTCTTTTTGTAGTAGTGCTTCCTCTTTCTCCTGTCAGTCTAAATTTAGATGCAAACTATCCTCACCAAAAGCTGATGTCATTCGATCGATCTTTTCATGTTGATTTTGAATATCACATGCATTTCATCTGTGACTGGAGTTTTGGTAGTCACTATCTCCAAATATATGTGTAGGTTTAGAATGCCATTACAAATGTTGAAGAAACTGTGATTTTCTCAGCGACAATGAGAAGTACGAAGGCATGGATGCGTCATTTTTTCCCTTACCGACTGGCAGTTCGAATAATGTACAAATGAGAATTTTATGTGTTGAGACTAAAAAAGCTATTAGTACAATGCCTGTGGAATGAACATGTGAAGTATGATTTACGTAGTTATTGTTGCTGATTACATGAAACTTCTACTATTCAATCTATGTTTTTGAATCATCAAATGAATCTCTGCTGAATCAAATATCATTCAAGAAAATCGAAGTTTGACTCTTTTCTTTTGCCTTGGTGCAACGTAAAAAGCTCTCTGGAGAGGAAAGATCCTCAACTGATCCGCACCGTTGTCAATGATATGATGTCTATATGTCGGGAATATTATTCTAAGAAAAAGTATACGGGGGTTCAGACTGATGGGGTTTACTTCGAAGCTTATGACCATTTTATTGATTTTTTTCTACCTGACAGAAGATATATACAGAAAAATCGAACAAACGAATTTCATTCTGAAATTTTGCTCATGTATAACTCTCGTACTCACTAGAACTCTAAGCATTTCAGTGAAAAAAATGTTTGCTTCTAGAGATATTGATTCTTACAAACTTGTCTCATAATCTCTAAAAAGAAGCATTTTTTCACTGAATCTTTTAGACTGGTTCTAGTGAGTACGAGAACTACATATGAGCAAAATTTCAGAATGAAATTCGTTTGTTTGATTTTTCTGTATATATCTTGTGTCAGGTAGAAAAAAATCAATAAAATGGTCATAAGCTTCGAAGTAAGCCCCATCAGTTCAAACCCTCGTATGGTTTTTCTTAGAATTATATCCCCGACATATAGACAACATATCATTGAAAAGGTTTGAATCAGTTGGGAACCCTTCCGCGTTAGTGAGTTGTTCAAAACTAATGATCCAGTTGCTAAGTACATAGAATGAAAGAAGCCAATATTCTACGGGAAAATAAAATAAAAGCGAGAGAACAAAAGAAACTGACACAGGTTTAATAGTGTTCAATAGAATGTAAATAAAATTATTCGTATAAAATAATGACTGTCATCCTCAGAAGAAAAACTTATCTGTTACAAATAGTGATCTAACTACGGACTGCTAACGAAGCTAAGTTTCTTTTTCTCTCATCAGAGTTTTGATGTGTCCATTCAATGACTGAAGTCAGTTCACTTGAAATCGATCCATACCCCGCACCCTCCCCCCCTACTTTGTGCTCATCGGAGGCCCTGTTCGATGAACTTTCCTCAATTGGAAATTTCTGGTTACGTTATCAATTCCAGAAAATACTACGCTGAAACGAATCTAAAATGATACATACAAGAATTCGCTAAAAGCATGCACCATTTCCTCGAGTGCCTTACTTGTTTCGACTTTTTTCTAGATCATTTTTCTCTGTTGTTTCGTATATATCGCCACTTTGCTTTTATCAAAGATTACTCTATGCTGACATCAACGGAAATTCCATTATATCGTGTACAAGGCACCCATTATGAATGCGGTCGTACTATCGGTAATCTTTGTCGTGAACGAATTCTCCGACGTATTGCTAACGATCTACCGTTATTGACACCGTTATTTGATTTTGCTCAAACAGAACAAGGCCTAGAACTTTTTAATGGTTTTACTGAACCTATTCGTTTAACTTTTCCTTGGTATTGGGATGAATTATGCGGTTTGGTTGAAGGTTCTGGAGTACCGTTAGAAAAATTGTTGGTACTCAATTTTGAAAAAGAAACCCGAATGGTCTTTCATCTATTTGAAGAAACAAACACATGTGGCAAACAAGTCGAAGATGAAAACGGAGCACATGACTGTACTACGGTGTTGATCAATAGACCAGATACAGATGCAATCGAAATTTTGCATAACGAAGACAGTTCAATAGCTCTATACCATACTGCATATTTAATCGAGGCTAATATCAAGTCAGTTGCTTATAACGATCACCAACGGCAAAGTCCGAACGAAAAATTTATTGCATTTTGTTATGCTGGCGTAATTCCAGGTAAGATAACAGCCTATCATTGACACTGTCTTCTAGCTAGAATCTAGGTAATGCCTTCGGTGTTAATATGCACGGATTTGGGTATGCTCTTAATAGTCTCTCTCTGAATTCTGTCAGACACAAAAGTATTCCACGACAAATAATCAATCGAGCTCTACTTTCTATGCGCAATGAAAATGAATTAGATCAACTTCTTTCAGAAACACAAGTCGCATATGGATTTTCGATTAATTGTGGATTTTTCAATGAAAAAAATGCGGATCAATTATATTTTATCAATTATGAAATTAGTCCTGATTTTTCTACTAACAACAGAAATCTAGTCAGTAAATGTTTCGTTTTAAATGATAATCAATATCGGCAATATCAACTCAACCATGGTAACATGAACATATAATTGATACTTATTTGTTTTCATTATTCTTTCTTTATATCTAATAATAGACACGTATCTGGTCGCCAAGAACTATCTTGTTCATTACAACCACTATCAACGACTTCATGAACTTGTTGTGGAACGTCAACCATTGTCTTTGACTCGAGCTCGTGAACAACGGGGTCTTGAACTTGGCGAAATTCATAATGTCAACGATGCTCTTGTATTATTAGGTGATCAAACCGATGAAAACTATCCCATTTTTTGTGTTCCCACCAAGACGGATTTGAATTTGGCTACATTGTGTACAATTCGTTTCAAGTTTCTTACACATCAATTGATCATCTACCGTTCTAATCCGAATGAGAATAGGGATCCGCTACTCACCTACAATCTAGCTGAATTATGGAACTCTGAAGACAATAATAATTGAAATATCCTTTAGAGAGTTTGAATTGAATCAACATTGTACGTATATTGAATAACCTGAATTATTGATTTTTATCTTGATCGAAAAACAATATAAACAAGTACGAACCAAACAAACTTCATATACTCCATTGCGCGTATTAGTGCAGGAGGCAGTATGATGTCAATGAATTCCTATATCCGGCATATAGCGTCGATCATGATCTTGATCCATTGAAAATATTCAAGCACTCACAGTATAGCTTTCCACTCTGAGCCCGCCCCCCCCCCTCCCCCTTAGTAAATCCATTTTTTCGAAGGTGTGAGTGTATGCGTGGATAATCTTTTCATCCACACTTCACACCCTTATTGTCTCCAAACCTGATGAATGATTAGCCAAAAAAGACAACTTTCTGATAATCGCCATTATTATGCATTTACCTAAAGTGTCCTGGCCAGAATTTAAGTTTAATGGCTGTGGGTGTGGCGTGCGTGTTCAAGAAAAGATCCACACAAAAACTCACAGCCCTGAAAATAAAAAAAATAGTGATGTTTCATGTTTCTTTTGCCAATATATGACGAATAGAAGATTTGACAGAAGTAAAGTTTACCTTCCGGTTCTATTTCATGAAATTCTAGTAGTAGCCTTTGGAACTTCAATTCATAATCAAACTCTTAAAATGTCTCCCTTATTCGTTTTAGTGCATGTTTAAAAGCTAAAGATTTTCGTAGGTCAGAATTTTCTCACTTTTCATATGAACGAATTTAGCTCGTGTTATGATGTTCAGCTCCGTGGTAAATAGTTATACTATTCTTTCGCAAATTGTGAAAACGAGTATTCTTCCAGTTTCTTATCTCAATATCTCGTAGAACGAATGATTTTCAATGGTGAGAATTTTCGACTTTTTTATATATAAACAAACACTGCTTCGGCTAGGATTCAAAACTTTACATTAAATATCGAAGTTCTTTTTATTCGAACATTGAAAAAACAATGATTTTTGGCAATCAAAAAGAATCGCGCGGCTTTATATCATATAGTTCTAGCAATGTAGTAAATTTCGGATCAAAATTAGAGAATATAATACTGGTGATTTGTCTTAGTGATTTGTAATTATATATGACTATCGCGAAAAGTGAGTCGTTGTCGCCTTTGAAATATGCTGTACTATCTCATCGAATTTTATACTACTATCCATTTCAAAATATAATGTACTGCACTAATTTTTGAATAGAGTTTGCAGAAACCCATGTTTAACCATTCAAAAGAGAATTTTCGGGATCATTGAAGTATATTGAAGCTAATCGGTCAACAAGGAACCAATTAGCTGAGTTCTTAGTGTAGATTTTTGATAACGATATTCTGAAGCTGTTTTTCTTCTGATTTAGACTTCTCGTAGAACTGATCGATAGAGAAAATGTTTCTCTTTTGATCTACACATGGCTCATTTTCCTAGCTTGTTCTACTTGACAGTTACAGGTATTTTCTTGAGACCTCCGATTTCAATCAATGAACCTGTGGTCATCCAAATATTAGTCAGACAGGAGCGCTTCACCAGGTTGAGTTGAATGGTGATATTTGTTTTTAGATTCGATATGATCTTACTGTTATCTCAATATTTCTGCAATTCATCAAGCAACATCCATGTTACGAACGAGTCGCCATGTCAGGAATATTGAGATAACACTATTAGATTAGTTTGAATCTAACAACAAATATCACTATTCGACTAAGCATAGTGAATGACATTCGCTCAGCTATTTTTCCCAGCAATCCGAAGTCAATTCGGTGACATCAGAAACCTCAATAAATGTCTTATAACTCTCGAACGCACCAAGCTGGTAATGTCAGTATTGCGTAGATCGAAATAGAAGACTTTTTTTTCTAGCAATCAGTTCTATCAAAAGTGTTAATTGAAAGAAAGATAGCTTCAGAATATCATTTTCCAAAATCTCGGTCAAAAATTCACCCATGTAATCTATTGAATGTGGGTGTAAGGTGGACGCGAACCTGAATATGTCGATGTTGGTATTCCCTTTTCTCACACTACACCCACCTACCCATCGCTTATACACTTTCGAGGTTTGACCTATATGAAAATCCAGTGAAACGTCTAATTAATGGTGAAACACGTACATTCTATTCGTCAACGTCTATCGATTTGAAATCTAAGAACATATGAACTTTTTCTTAGATTAAGTTAAGAAAGTATAAAAAAAGAAAATATTCTCTTTGAAAGCAAGATGAACATTTGTAAATAAATGTTCTATAATGAATACCAAGAAGCAGATTTATATAATTCAAGTTTAAAAATTAACCAAAAAAGGCATAATAAATTAACGTAATAAAATACAAAAAATCCCGTTATTTAACCCATTTAGTTTTTAATATAGTATTGTTTGCTTGTGTTGGTTTAACACGTAGTTCACATCGACGATCATGGACACTCACTAAAGGTCCACACATTAATTTTAACCCCTATTGCTGGGGATGAGGTGTGGGAGTAGGGTGGAGGTAGGTGTGGGTGTGCTTCTTCTCTTTATCTTGGCACCCACACCAACACCCATATCCACACCCACCGACACCCATACCCCACACCCTAATATTGACATAATCAAGGCTTTGTCGTTCTGTTTTGCTCGTAAACACTGATAATATGTAACACATTTTTTTAAATTTCGTAATTGTTTGAAATGCCCTCTTTTGTTTAATGTAGAGAAAAACTCATCTCTGACGCAGAGAAGAACAGAGTTTATATTTTTTTACTTTACCTAAAAATAAAATGACTAAAATATTGGTTGTCATTTTACCCACAGCTACATCATGTTTTACATTATTCATCTATGAATAGACTTGGCGCAGCTCTTACTTAAACTAACTGATTGTTCTTGGGAACTGGATCTAGTGAATATTTTTCTTTTTAGAGCTAAATATCGGGCGTAATTCGTTCTTTAAGAATCGCATCTTTCTATTCTAGTATTGAGCTTTCATTAGTTGTTTACCAACATATTCATGCAGTTCAAGAGTAGGACTTAGAACAAGCAGTTATAATTCAAATGGGAAGATTAAATCGAGATGTCTGCTGACACCAGATTATTCAAATAGAGTTGTTGTGACGGAACACTTCATAACAAAAAGAACGATTCGGACAATGCTAAAAATCGAAAATTGATATAGAACTGTGACAGGTTTATTTATTAATGCTTTAAAATAGGAGGACAATATTCATATAAAGTCGTACAATAGAGTGTGAAGAAATACAGAAGTATGTTCTTTCGTTTCAGACATGGTAGATGTAGATCGAATTTTAACGCAACAATAAAGAAAATTTTGACTTACTAGTTTTGTTTCCTGAGATGAAATGTATAAACTGACATATTCCGAAGATTCTGACCACATCTTATCAATGCCTATCGTCGTTCATAGATCATTGTAATATGTCATATGAACCTCCAAAATGTATTAGCTTATAGATTCAATCTCAGAGACCAAAACCGGCAAGTCAAACATGTTCTTATGCTAAAACTAAGTCTTCGACAAAAAAACTGAATTGACTCTGATGATGACCTCATGCAGATCTCTAACCTCCACGCTAACTCTATGAGTCTTGTCATATGTTTGCATTTCCATGTCAAAGAAGAACTTGTTTTATTGATTTCATATTTGAGGGAATCGTTAAGCGAATAATCTACCCTCATGACTGAGAAAGTATCGACTTTCTGAAGTATGAGTACACAAGAGTTTCCCAAGACCTCATTGTAGAAAATTTAGTTAGGAGATTTACAAATAACACATCAATTGTGAGATGAATACTTGATGACAGCCGTTAATCAAATCGTCTTATTACGATTAATTTTGTTAAAGTACAGATGTTTGAGTGTAGGATCTACTTCCATCGGCCATCGCGTTCTATTTGAACTGTAATTTGACACCTGAGCATTTATTTTGTTCATTGAGAATGAGTTCATTTACAAATAATATACGGTGCAACTAGTTAGTAAAAGGGTCGAACAGAAAGATGACAAGCAACTGTTCATTTCATTCTGACAAAATACAAACTATATGTTTCTGAAGCATTTTGTTCAACTCTGTCTATTCTCTCAGCTTGTGAATATTGTGATCATAAACTCACTGCTTTGTATAAAAAAATGAGCCTTTCTATATTCATTACATATATTTTTTACTATTGAAAGTCAAAACTTATTGGTTGTCAATCATTTTACGACTAGGGCAGACTTACTACTCTCAGTTGCAATCAATACTGATTGTAATTTATTTAAGAGAAAATTTTACAATATCCTGTATGTCTGAGAAAGAAATCAGCATGATATATTCAAATATGACGAAAGTAATCAGACGCTTTTTGGCATCGATATATGTCGCCTGAAGGTTCTGTGTATTCTAAACAATAAAAATTTCATCATCACAATCATCATTGTCAAGACTTTGTTCAATACATTGTTCGCATACAGTACATTTTTTATCCAAATTTTCTTTGGCTTTACGTTCTTGCCAACATGATTGACACAATACTTTATGATTACAAGGAAGAAATCGTACCGAACGGCGACGATTACAACACACGGAACATTGTGTTGCTTGCTTATGTGATTGATATCGCTGAAATATTGTATGAAGACGTTCACTAATTTGGCTAGAAGTAGGTCGATCTTTAGGGTTTACTTGAAGACAAGCTACAATTAGATCTTTATATTCACGAAGATCAAAGTCATAACAAACATGTTGTTCGATTACTGAACGAATATGAGGCACATCTTCGGATGAAACTCGATGATATTGTTTTTTCGGCAATAATTCATAGAGTATAGTACCGAGCGAAAAAATATCTACGGCTTCACCATTATATGTGTTCATAGATGATGATTGTGCTTGTGCAAGTATTTCAGGCGAAAATGGAGCAGTGCCAATAAATGTTCGATTTGTGTAACCTTGATAACAAGTACCAAAATCGGTAAAATGACAATGATTATGTTCATCAAGTAAAATATTACTTGTCTTTAAATCTCGATAAACAATATTCAATCGATGAAATTCCGATAGAATTGTCACAATTTCCACCGCAAATTCATGTAGTGTTTCGAAACTGATATTTGTTATATTAGCTCGTAAATAATCACGCAATGATTGTTTGAATTCTGGCATGAATATCCAAAGTTCATGTGTAGTCGAAGTCTCATCACTACTATTTAATTCATGTTCATACAGATATAAAAGTGGAACAATGGCATTTCTTGGCATGAGTTCCGTTGCTATTCGATGATAATGTGCTTCTAAATAAGGCATGTATGGATCATCAAGATCGGTTTGAGACGATCTTTTCACAACTAATCCTTGGACATTGCCCCATTCAGCTCGTTCAATTCGAAAATAACCACCTTGACCAATGTATTCATGAAGAATTGGTTGAATTCCATAGAATTGTGCTAGATCTTCGGCTGCTAATAGTTGACATTCGATTTGTGCAAATCGTCCGAGAAATTGTCGAGAAAGAGAATCAGCACGTTGTCGTTTATTAAAAGTTTTAATAATATATCGATAGCTACGATCAATACAATCACAAAATTCTTGACGTTTTTGAGTAATCCAATTGAAAAGATTAACATGTAAAGATTCTCGCTGTTGCATTAGCCGTTCGCGCATTATATTCAAACGTTTACGAGCAAATTCTTCTCGTGCAGATTCATTTAATAGTTCGGAATAATTATCCATGGTGTCGAAAATATAAAATTCAGCTTCTTCTTGATTTGGTAAATGACTTGGTTCGAATGATTTGTAAAAGTTTGCCCATGGTCGCATGATTACAAATCGAGCAAATCGTTTCAAACGAGTCGGTGTTCGTTTTATATTTTCACTTAGTAAAGTGAAAAGTGTTTTCTTTCCTAATTGTTTAACAGAAATTTCTTTCATAACAGTTCGTCGTGCTATATTAATAAATTCATTTCGACTCTCTGCTTTCGGACTATTCCAAAAAATATTCAATGTAATTATGGCTTGGGTAGCATTATTCAATGTTTCATTAGCAACTACTTTAATCACTTCTTCATTAACAACTTGTTCGAGATAATCACGCATTCGAATTTGACTCAGATCATTTACTATATTTGAATTATTGGTCATTGATTTAAGACGAGATGCTCGCTGAATAATATCAGGTGACAATGTATCAAAACGTCGAAGTATATTCTCATACATCGATTCGACAAGATTTGGTAGTTCTCCTTGCAAAGCTTCAATAAATGAAAATGACCACTTAATAGCTTCATCACGCAAATGATTCCAATAGTTTAAGTCTTGATTATTTGCTGACATAGAAAAATCAAAAAAATCGTCGATTATTGAACGAATCGATCGTGCAAGATCAAGCATTGGTTCAAGTGCAGAATTAAACACAAATTCAATAATTCGTGTAAAACATGCATCATTCATGATTTGAAGATAATCACGAAATGGTGTACGAGTACTTGTTGGTATTGAACAAATATCAAAACAATCACAATCATAAACATTTGTTGGTAATGCACCAATCGATTCGTTACCCATGGCACTTTGACGTCGAAGAAGATCATATCGTAATTGACGTGATTGTGCAAGTATTTGATTAAATTTGTCGAATGAAATATTTTCATCAGTGGTTATTCCATAATCATGAAATATATTTTTAATATTGGCTTTCGTATTAAGAAAAAAAATACGCGAACGATCGAATGATTGTACTGTTTTTGTTAATTCTAAAAAGCAGTCAGCATCTGTTCGAGTAATCGCTGGATTTTCATAGAGAAATAATATTGTCGGACAGACTTTTTTGATCATAGAATAAAGATTTTGATTAAGAAATTCTTCTCGATTACACGAAAGAAATCCCGGTGTATCATAAATATCAATGCCTACTTGAAGAATAGACGAAGGTATACGAATTTCAATCCATGTTCGTGCCCATTCAATAAATTCATCAGATGTAACAGCAATATCAGATGGACGTTCTAAATGTTTTTTTAAAGCTTCTTCAATATTTTTCCAAGGTGATTTAGTATTGAAATGTGATGAAAGAGATAATTCATCGATAAGTTCATCGTATTCTTCATTTCCTTGAGATTTTCTATTGTAGATTCGAGCACATGCTTGTTCTGCTGATGCATATGTAAATTTAACGATTCTAGCAGATATTGCACCGGCTGCTGATGGAAGAATTTTTCCAATTTGTAGGAAATATTGAATAAATGCCGATTTACCACTAGAATTCGGACCACAAACAGCTATTGCGACATGTTGTGAGTTCATTCGTGTATTAATAAGTTCAATATCAATCATACGAAAACGATCGAGAAATAATTGATATCTATCCGTGTCAGCAGCTATGTCTGGTATTTCATTATTCAAAAATTCATCACGTACTCGAACGAATTCGTAAGCAACTTGAGAAATTCGAGTTTGAATGATGGAATTCGATTTAATCATATTGCATTGATAATTTAATCTTGTAGTCATTTTGACAAAGAAGATTGTTTATCTAGAACGAGAATAAAATTGTATTCTTTAGATAGAATTATAAATAGAATTAAGAGCACTACATAAATCATGAGCACTCATTCGCGAATGATAAGAAATGTCTGTACATTTTTTCATAAGCTGTTTAAAATCTCGAATAGAATTTGTTTTTTCTTTGATAGCTTCTGTTATTTGAAGACCAATATGACCGAAATCTTGAATATCTTTATTGACACGTTGTTCTGTAGCACGATGACAATCTTCGATGATCGAAATATCATTGCTCAATATGGGACCCCAATCAGCGAGAAAACTTGTGTCTTTATTATCATCAATCAATATATAAGATGATTTTAGATTGCCATGAGCAAGATCATAATGATGATAAGCATTGAGTGTTTCTGCTGTGTGAATTAGAATTTTGAGTGCTTGTTTAAAATCAATCGAAGATGGATATTGTTCCAAAATATCATTTAAGTTACGCAAATCTTTGGGAAAAATCATCCAAAGTTCATTAGGATATGTTGAGTAATGATTTTCATATAGATATAATAATGGTAAAATGCCAGGTATCATTAATTTAGTCAATCGCCAATGATAGTGTCCTTCCAAATAGGTAAGATGCATGTTATCCGATGTTGTAAGTAACTCATTTAATCGTTTGACAATTAAATTTTCGTTGGTTTGATATTTTGCAATGCATACATCAAATAGATTACCTTTTGAGACCTTATCAATAATTATTGTTTTCATCTCATCGAATTTAATTGAATCTGGAATAGTTAGCAATTGGCATTCGATTTTAGCGAAATTGAAACTGTATCTTCGAATGAAAAGAAAAATAAATCAGTTTGCTTCTTCTTCGAAAAGAATGTAAACAAATAAAGCTTTTATGTTCATAATTCTTACTTTTAAAAATTCGAGTTTAAATAGTGGATAATAGTTCATTCAATATTTATAACGTAAAACATCATAAAAACTCAATGAAACGATATCGAAAAAGATTGTCTTTTTTTTTCTTCTGTACTCGATCTGTATTCAATTTTACGAAGTATACACATTGTGAAAATGATGGCGTGTTTGTCTCCTTGTCGGCTTTCCCAACCAATGAGTCTCTGGATGAATCAAGCAAAATTTTTCTGCTAGGTTCAACACTTCAGGATACTCCTAATTTCCAAAGACAAAATGCACATTCGATCAACCATGAATTACTTCTTACAGACACTATACACTGTTTAGAGTAACCTCTTTTTTTTAGGTTATTAAATTATTTATTTTTCCTTAACAAAATGTCAAAATATGCAGGATAATTTCATAATATCCGTCAAATTTCTTTTCGAAAAAATTGATTTTGAGAAAAATGTAAATAGGGGTGTAACAAAATATCGAATAGATTTGGTATTCGGAATTAAATTTTTCAGATACAGATTGAGGGCTGAACTTTTGTTCTTAAACTTACATGACCGTAACTTTAAACTTATATTAGAATAAAATCAAATCCGAACGCTAAATCTAAATTTTAGATCCAAGTCTATAACAAAACCAAATAATTTCATATAAATTCATATGTGTTCGAGCACTTTTATTCCTTCTCGTACTTTATTTTTGCAGAACCCCATTCGGCTTGATTAATTTAACAACAAGTCTAAACTCAAATCTTTCTACAACGAATCCCGAAACTTTCGGCTTGTTATATTTCTAAACTTAAGATAATGCAAAAATCATTTTCATGGTCTGTGCTTTGTTTTTGCTTGTTTTCCACATACGGTATAATAATTAATTATTACACTTGCAAAATGGTTACAGGAATATCTCTTTGATGCATTGGGCATATCTAAACGGTGAAAAGACAAGTTTAATTGGAATCGTTTGCTCAATCAAAAGCCTTGTTCTAGCTAAGGGCGTTGTAAACTCAAGCTTTTTTTTTATAGAGTTCGATGGCAATGAAAAATATGCGTAAGGTGCCATTCTGTAGACGATATTTGAATATCTCCTTAGACCAATTCTCTGCAAAAATTCAAAGGATTATATGTACAAAAGCCGAAATAATAACCGATACTGTTATATAATTGCTTGACATTTCTAGGATTAGCCTTACTTCTTAATGACATGGAATGCTTGTTCACGAAATACTATTAAACTATCAGTTGTTTGATGTTGTAAATCGATATTATACCGAAGCTTGTTCATATATTGTTCGAGCCATGCTTGAATAGTTTCCTTCAGAAATTTTTTTCGATCATTGATTTGTTCTTGAATTTCGTTGAGATAATTTTCAGCCGCAATGATTGGTTCAACTGTTGAGGTCGATTGTTGGCGAGTTTTTTGACGTTGATGACGATTAGCTGTCCTATGAGCAATAAGTGAACGCACACTTCCACTAATGCCTTCTCTATCATTATCGGATTCTTCATCAAGAACATGAACAACAAGCAATGCAGGTGAACGTAACATTTTTACAGCAAAGTTTTGACAAATACTCGACGAAAATCCATCATTTGATGATGAACGAAAATCTTCTTCATAACATAGTGCTTCACATAGAATTTCATTTGAATTTCCAACTAAATAATCGCCTTCGGTTAACGGTGCAAGAATAATTTTCTCATATATTGATTGTAAAACTTCATTAACTGATTGTTTGATTACTTCTTGTTGAATAGCCACGTTTAAATATGTTTCTATATCTTTTATATTGTTCCCGCATTGTATAGAAACTGCACGACGAATCAAAATGTCGGCAACAAATTTCAAACGAGCATCGATTTTCGTAAACACTTGGTCAAGAAATTCGCCAAAACGTTTTTGATGTTCACGTTCAAATTCATTCAACCATTTAAGAGCATTATCACGCTTATTCTCCAATTGATGTGTAGTGTAATCGCTAAGTGAACGACGAAGACTGAAAAATGTATCGATTTCGCGCATTATAAGATGAAAAATACGATTACAAATAGACAAACTACTGTTAGCAGCAAATCGAACAATGCTTTTAATGCAAGCATCATTCATTAATCGGCCCAATGGATCATCATGCGAAGTTGCTGAACACAGGTCAAAATAAGAACATTGATCCACTGTTGGTGGTAGGCCACCTAAAATATCATTGGCTATTGTAGGTGCACTCACGAGCATTTCGTATCTTTTTCGTCGTTCATTAACGAGCATTGGTCGAAACTCATCCTCAGTTGTTTCATCCGAAATATCAGGATATCTATCGATATCAACCTGAGAATTGAGAAAAAACATACTCGTATTATCAAGACTGACCAATGCAGATTTTAGAGCGAGAAAACCATTTATGGTTTCATCAGTAACCATCGGATTCGAATACATGTAAACAATAGTGGGCTGAGTAAGTTTGACTAAATTGTGAACATTCTCTTTCAGAATAGGTGCATCGTGAAAAAGAAAACCTGGTGTATCATAAACGTCGATGCCAACTTTGAGTGTCGGTGATGGGAGTTGAATTTCGACAAACTTTCGTGCCCATTCAACAAATTCTTTCGATCGTTCAAATTCATCCGGAGATAATGTAGCCGATATTGGACGAGCAAGATGCGGTCTGAGAATAGATTCGATGCCTGACCAATTAACTTTTTCCATACGGAAGAAATCAGAAAGATCATGATAATCTAGACACGTTCGATCTTCTAGACTTTCATATACACGAATACATGCTTGATCGAATGGTGCATAAGTAAATTTAACAATACGTGCACTCACTGGACCAGCATTAGTTGGCATGACTTTACCGATTTGTAGAAACATGTGAATGAATGTTGTTTTCCCACTTGAGTTTTCTCCACATATAGCCAGTTGAATTCGATCAGTTTCCATTTGTTTATTTAATGATTGAATGGTCGTTGTATTGATCAATGATTTGAATCTTTCATCGATAGCCTGTATATAATCGATCTCATTCAATTCGTGCAAGAGTTGTTGACGAACGCATATAAATTCATGGATACTCTCTTGAGCAAGTTGACGAATCGAACTATGCGATTTGATTATATCGTCGAAATGACTAGTTTCAGCCATGGCTTCTAAAAACAAAATAACATTGTTGTAAATCTTTGAGGCTATTTCTTGTCGAGAAGAAACAATAAGACTGATAGTTAGAGTCTGTCGGGTTGGTTTCGTATCCGAGTTTCAGCTTGAAAAAAGTTTGCATCCGATGTGCCCAAACGGTATGAGAAATCTGTTGTTTTTATGAGTCATCGAATGTAAAAAGACAACGAAAATGTCTGATATCCTCGAAGTAATTATTCAATAGCAAGTAGGTTTCTCCTTTCAATAGAAGATATCCTGCATTAAAATAATCATTATATAGGAAAACCTGTGTTGAAGAAACAATTTTGCAGTTAAAACAAAACATCAAAAACATGCCCAGTTTTCAGGTTTTTGATCTGAAAAGCTTAAAAGACTAACGTTTATGTTGATTAACAATTATAAAAATACACGAGATAAAATGGAAGATCATTCTCAAAACTTTGTATGCTTGAATATAAAAACCATGGTTTTCTATCACAAGAAGGGGTTTTGAAAAGTTCTTTAATAATATCAAAGTCGATTTTGATCGGATCTGGGTCCGAAATTTTTGGACTCAGATTGTTCTACTGATAGTATAGTTAAAAACTAGAGGCATGATGTATGGGTGTGGGTGCTGGTGTGCGTGTAGGCGTATGCGGTATGTTCGTATCTTTTTTGCGTTGATCGGCGTCCACAGCTATGCTCACGCCCATGTCATCCTGCTCAGCACTATGCCGTTCTGCTCAGCACCACGTCATCCTGCTCAGCACTATGTCATTCTGCTCTGTACGGCGTCCGGCTCAAGAAAATGCCGTCTCGCTCAGCACCACGTCGTCCTGCTCAGCACTACAATATCTAGCAATTAATTAAAAAAATGAAATTGTTTTTTAGGGGTCAATGAGGTCATTCTAAGGATGGGCCGAAATTCCTCTAGGACTTTCGGCCCGGTCCGAAAATTCACCGAAATTTTGGACCGGGCCGAAAGTCCAGGCCGAAAATTCCGTGGGCCGAAATTCATGTAACCCAAACATTCGATTCACTCTTACTGTACATAAAAGTGAAAAAGTATGCTTCGTTTTTTTCTTCTATTCTCTGAACTTTACGTTTGATTCATGATCCATAGAAATACAAGGGAATTCAATGCAAATGTAACTCACGGCATATTCATCGTAAGGTTTGAAACGTAAGAATTTCTTATAGACAATTTTGATTGTTATGTTCTTTACGAAAAGTGTGCTCTGAATATTTCACTTTACGATCTCATTCATTTTCTTACTTTTATCAAGATAGTGTTGTAATTTTTCGTCGTTCGGCGAATAGAAACTTGAAGCAAAAGAAACTCTTTCATTAAAAAAACAACATATGGTGGTTGGAAAAAAGGAAGAAAATTTTTTGTTTTGTAACATAAATTCGTCAAGTAGACGACAACAAGATCCTTTTTATCTTGAAGTCAAATATTTACTGACTGATACGAGTCAAATTACGATAAAACTAACGTTATCAATCTGCCCGACCCAGAGCGAAAGAGCATACTCATTTTTGTCTTAATGGCGTTGGTGTGGGTATGGGTTACGTATAGGAGTTGTCGAATGATAGTCACATCCACGTCCATACCCTTGAAGAAATAATAACTGTAATAGAAATACGTTTCTAAGTGTTGTTCGGTTTCTTGATATTCGATTGCGCAAACCAAAATAATTTCGAATCCGACACTTGCTGTTGCAGATTGACTTCACGACACTTACTTCCTTTCTACTATTGATCAAAGTAACGTTAAGAATTTTTCTTCTGCAAGTGTGGGTATGAGTGTCTGCTACTGTTTACTCGAGTTAAATTCACACCCTCATCCCCATCCACATCCACACACCCACATCAACGGTAATGTTGAAGACGTTTGTTGATGACAGTCATGATAATGAGCATATATATTCAGTTTATATTTTCATAAGAGGATAATATATAGCTTGAATCAAACATAGTTGACATAGTATTGTACGGCAGTGTTTTCACTAATACTCCAGGTTTAATTATAAGGCCATTAACTGATGATAAAATACTTGATCGATTATGCATTCATATAGAATCCAAGAATTTATCATAATATGAACAATATTACTCTCGAATCTACATCAATGGGGCGTATTCTCCTAGCTCGCATTTATTCAAACTTAATTTCTCTGAAATTGTTTAATTTTTAACATGAGATCGTTTCTTCTTATTTTACAGAAGTAAAACAATGAAAATCCAGTCGCATTCAAAAGAAAACAATACGCTTTATTTGATTATTTTAACTTCTTTTTGTATTCTATTTAGAGGAATCACTCTTTCTACATATACTCAAATATCGCATTATGTAACTTATTCTTGAAAATAATCATAACACAACCATTGAAATATCGTCGGGAGATTATATTGCATATAAATATGCACATGTCTTTCGTGTTTTTGAAAATTTAAAGCATTTAAGCATTATTTAAACATTAACGATTGATTAAACACTTTTGTCAGTTTATTGTTGATCATCAACTACTACTTTTTCTTCGATCTGTACCAAATTATGTATCCATGTATTCAGTATGCATACATTTTGTCATTAAGTTTATGGTCGTCTTAAACAATTAATCACATTTTAATCAAATAACTAATATCAATAATAAGCTTGAGCTAATCAATCATTTAATGTATGTTTTGTATGCTATAAAAGTATAAGAAAGACTGAAGGTGATTACTTTTGAGGAAATTATGATTATGGATTATAGATTTTTCCTGTAAGAGTGTGGGTGTGGTTGTGATTGTTGGTCTTCTTTACAGCAACACCCACACCCACACTCACCCACACCCTATGCGATTACTACGTTTATTTTGTCTCATAGCTACATGAATTTTTTTGTTTTTGAAAGGATATGTCAGAATGCAACGTATGACAGAGCCCTTTTTTTTAAGTTCTCACTTTAAATGTTAAAAAAAAGTGACAAGTTAAGGGTCTCAAAAAACTCTCTAGAAATTGGCGCCAATTTATATTAGTGTCTGTATATATATATTGAAAAAAAGCTGAATTAAAAAAAAAGACCCTGTCATGCCGTGCGCCTTGACATGCTCTTTCAAACAAAAAACAATTAAGTATATAGAATTAGCCTGCAGAGAGAATTTTGGGTTCTGCGATCAAAAAAAGCATAAACTGAAAAAAAAACGAAAAACATTTTCGGTTTTTTGTAAAAGCAACTTGCTTTCTAAACAGGAGATGACACAAATCTTCGAAAATGTTTGGAAAAAACATGGTACCGAGTAAAAATTTTTGCCGTTTATAAAAGAGCTGAAGATGAGCTATCTTTCTATGCATTTGTCTGAATTTCAAAATTTCTGAAGACAATAGACTTTTTTTGAGGATGTAGGCGTTAGTCAAAATTCTACAAACGTGAAGTTTTTTCGTTCTACCGATAACGGAATGAAACTTCGTCATTTTTTTATAGCAAAACATGGTTTTGATGCAGCAAAATCATGGAATAGACAATCCATTGATGGTGTAATGAACATTTTACAAACAGCTACCGATTATAGACGAAATCCTAATGTTGTCCATGAAATGATAAGTTTTGTTAACAACAAACTTCCACATTTATTCATGAGTAATCATAATCAGAATAATAGCTGAACTAGAAGATCTCCAGTAACATCCTTATGAATGTGTTCTATCGCCAAAGCTTGTTTATGATGATGCAAATTATTTTATTGGTATTAGTTGAATGGATAATGGCAACCTCTTTACAGTCTATATGAGACTAATGATGAATTTCATGCTGTATTTGAACTAACAGATTTGAAAAAACAAAGGCGAAGCAGGTATTTCAATTATTATAGGAGCCACTATTATTGAAGGTCGTCGCGTTGATTTCAAAATCTCCTCAGCAAGTTCAACTATTCAACAGGAAAAATCCCTATCAGTCAACTTAAATTAGAAATTTCTTCGCAATTCAAGATTGATTCTAAAAAAAAGAAAACTGGAAAGTGATGAAGGCTTTTACTAGATTCCATGTCCAAAGAAGAAAATGACTATCGTATTTCTTGAATGAGAATGGCATTCGTATACTACGATCGAAACAAACATTTCGAAAATATGTTGCATTCATTGATTTCTAGTTATCTTGTCTCAAGTTGATGCAAGTATGAATGAGAGGTATCAATCCTTAGCAAAAGTTTATCTTTCACAATCCATGAGAGTGAATTTGTTTAAGTAAATCAATTATAATAGGTTATTTATTGTTGTTTATGAAATAGATTGGTTCTATTTTCGTGAAGTAAATACATGTTAAATCCAACTGGCCTTTATTGAATCATCATTCTTTGAGATCAATAGGCAAAAGACAAGGTACAATTATCTCTGAGACAAACAATATCTTTTGTACAGTTTCGATATTGGTAATAATAGTTGCTCTACTAGTGACCATCTTAGGTGTGGTCATGAATCAGAAAAATAACACTAATGTGATTGAGATTACATCAACAAAGAAGCTATCGGGCACAATCAATTCAAGTAACGCTGAATCAAAAAATGATAATAACTATGTTATGAGTTTGGAAACACTTTTATGAAATCGAGTTGAGAAACTATTGTGCAGAAAAACAAACAACAGCAGCTAATTCATACTCTTAAACGTCTTCCACATGTTTTGATCACGTCATTTCTTCACTATCATTCTTCAAAACATTTCCCAAGAGCTTGTTTGCATTCGTTGAATATATATTGTAGGATTAAACTATTTGAAGATGCCAGACAAAAAGATCATTAATACATAAACACGATTTGCTTATCTTGTTGATTATAACAAGTTTACTAATTTGTACAACACATCAATACATGAGTATGAATTACGTTTAGCTAGAGATAATAAAACACTGACCAGACACGTGTGGATTTCAATTCGATGAGGAAAACAGAGTAGGCATGCAGCTGCTCACATTTGATTTCTGAGCCAGATTGATATTTGCTCTTGTTGTGATCGACGAACATTGTCTATGATTAGTCTATGGTGACAGAACCATGAGTCATCAAATCCTTGATAGTTTTTAATAATAACCATTAACAAACGCCATCTATAAAATCATTTTTTTGTTGATAATTCGAGTATGCTTCATCATCAGACACCAAATCTAATTTATTTAGAACAACAAAAAGCTTGACATCGTATTCAATAAAAAAAATTCCATTCTATCACTTTTAGTTTCATCGGACTGAAAATTTCGATTTTCATTGAAACTTTTCTTCACAGTCGTTTTCATCCGACTATTTATAGTGAACGACTGATATTCAATTATATGAGTACAATGTGCGACAATACATCATTACCGATATGTTTCGAAGATCTCCCGGTACAATTAATCCGCGTCATTGTTGAAGGGTGGGTGTGGGTGTGTGGATGTAGATCTATTCTTTAGCCACACCCACACCCACACCCTACACCGAATTTCATCGATAGATTTCAAATTTCACCCGAAAATATCAATCCGTTCTGGAGTTATAACGTTTTGGATTTTTAAGACATTACTCAGAAATTGCGGCAGAAATTCAAAACGTTATAACTCCCAAACGGATTGATATTTTCGGGTGAAATTTGAAATCTGTCGCTGAAATTCGATGTAGCTTTCTGTAGCATCCTCAAAAGTTCGATACTACTGAAAACTTTAAAAATTTCTTGGGGGGCTCAGGAAAATGCTAATTTTTTGACAAACGCCGATAAAAAAAATAGTTGGTAGAAACTCATCATTTGGGATCAATATCATTCCCCATAAGTTTCAACTGGGACCCATGCTCTAAAGTTGAGATGCAGCATCCCAGAAAATTCTGGTTACGCCACTACCATGAATATGATCCGAACCAAAGACAATGTATATTGTCGTATAGCTATCCTTAAAATACCACTATATGGTTGTATTCGCAACGAAAGAAGGAGAGAACAATGAAATGTATGCTGATAAATATAAACAACTTGGATTTTTTTTTCAATAATCCTCAAAAGGCAAATAAACAAGGGATAAGAATGTTCTCCTAACAGCCTCGATCCTTTTTTGTCTTTGATTCAGATATTCAATTTAATCGATGTAAATATGAATTCAGATGTTTTTTTGTTACGGTTTCTTCCCATTATAATCTTTTTCACATTAAGAGTGAGTGTAAATTCTGAATGATTCATCCAAACTAACAAAATTAAAGTCAAAATAAATATACCAGGCAGAAAACTAAAATGATGAAATTGCATTGAGAGTATCAGTATTGTACTTTTTTTGTTTAGTTAATCCATGTCAGAATTGGTCCATTCACTAGCAAAGCCAATTCAAATCCCATCTTCAAGTTCTAAACTGACTCCGATTGACTTCAGCTATCAATGTGGAGTGGAACCGTTAAATCCGTGAAGAGATGCACAAAATTCTCGACTCTTTGTTGAAACATGTTGATTACTTTTGAGACCTGAGATAAAAGTTCGGTATAATAGTGTCTTATTTAAAATAATGAAGCTTGTGACAAGTTTAATTCGAAAAATTAGAATACTTCAAATTCTGGAAACAGACGCAACGACTTTTGCATCTATTTAATGACTTGCTAGTACTGAATAGTTTTTGGAACTGTTGAGCCCTACTCACTAAAATCATTCTATAGAATAACCCCGCTAAGACAAGTTGAAAAAAAATTAAAACAGCTGCCATACTTGAGAAACTTAATCGTAGATTTTTTTAACTGTTATATAATAGGACACAATTTAGTAATACGAAAACAATATCAAAATTAATTTCAATGTTCACATAATGAAAATGGTCTTTCAAATAATAGTTCATTATGTTCTGAGATAAAATATTTTCGTTCATCCATTAATTTCTTTCGATGTTCTTTTGCATCATTCATACTCATAGGAAAATTCGTGTAATTCAGTATTTTATCAACAACTACCAATGGTAATTGATTAAATGGAGGCATAGAACGTAAGATATTGACAAACCAGTGAGATTGTTGTGGCGGAACATTGGCAGTAGATAAAATACGAATAGTTGGATCAACCAAAAAAAATACTAATATTTTTCGTTGACCTGATTGAGTGGAATCTTTCAATTGAAACGGTGCAACACGATGCTGATAAATATTAGGAAATACAATACAACGATTTTCTTGTGTAATCACTTCGCCTAACGCTTGATTTAACGGCTTTTGATCATATAAACCATAAGCACGGCTCACACGATAATTATCATTTTGTTGATGGTCAGGTTCACATATCACAGTTCGAAATTGTAACTCTGATTGTGTGATATTAGAGCTAAAATAATAAAAAATACCTGTAGCAACAATATGTTCATTTTCCATTCCTTCAACATGCCAAACACCCCCAGGATACTTAGAATTGTCCGGCGTTAGTATGATATTAGCTAATTTAACAATTATTTGTAGTTTTCTTCCACGCAAATCTATACTAGAAGATTTTGATGATGGCATTTGGAATTCTCTAATATAAAGCCTTGGAGTCTCTCCAAGATCATCATCATCATCATCATCGGTTGTGTGTGAATCGCTGGACCGTGAATAAGAATCGACAAAGATGCGATTTCGCTTATTGTTATTATAAACTAAATCAGTTAAAACTTTATTGAACATAGGTATAAAATGTTCACATATTTGTTCAATGGATTGATATAGTTGTTTATGTTCGATCGGATGTAAGTTATTGATATATGATTCGATTGTAACTTGACCATCCTTTGAAATATTGAATTCAGCCGGTAACCATTGATATGTAGTCGATTCAGTATAATCAATAAATGTTTTTCGTCTTTTATTGGTTAAAGACGATTCTTCTTCATTGATATCAATAATTTGACCGTCACCAATATGTTCGAGAGCATTATCCACATTGATAATACGATTCTTATCATTGATAATTCTTGTTATTTGATTAACAAAACAAAATAACGATGGATGAACTAAATCTAATATTTGTTTATTTGTACCAGGATGCCAATCTTGTTCACTTTCGGGTATATTCTCCAAATTTTTTACACATGCAATTAAAGATTCTTTCATATCAATAGGTATTAATTCATCACTTTGCCATACACCATCGACAGTAGACATTTCCATCGATCCATCTCGTCTCAAATCATAGTATTCTAATTCAGCTAGAACATAATCGATTTGTTTCTCTGTAAGATTTGATTGTTCTACGGCCTCCTGTTTCCATTTGTTTCGAATTATTTCATCTTTCATTTTTTCATACCATTTTGATTTCGAACGAATACTGCCACTTAAGCGAATCATCTTCAACTCAACTAATGTTTTTGGTTGGTGGCCAGCGCCATAGCCACCTCGATAGAATGGATGAGAAAATGACTCTAAATCAGTATTACGATCTGTTAAATCAATGGTTAATATATCTTTTGTTTCTTCTGAAATAGTTCGTTTCTTGCATGAAGACATTTCCTGCAAAGGTTGAAAAAGTTAAAATCTGGTGTATTCAAAGACCCCTATTCTACTTTTGTCAAGAAACATAACAAGAAACTATTAATCTCAAAGCTATACATACAGCGTACTAAAAACTGAGATATAAGATATTCGCTGTTGTTCTAAGACCTTCTTCCCTGTTGCTCGTCATTTTATTCGTAATTACCTTGCACGCACATGGTTGCACTCTGAAAGATTTTCTCGACGTGTGCATAATATAATCATCTTACTCCAGTAAACTGTTATTGGTGGACAAATTTTTGTAGGAGTAGATGTCATTAGACTAAAATCTCTCATTTGAAATGTGTGCATGAATGATATGATTATATGAAGGCTATATAAAATATGTTTAGCAGCACAATAAGGAACTAAAATAAGTCTTTTTTTTTTTACTTTTTATTTTTGTATCGAACAACTGACAACATAAGCACTAGAACTAAAGTCAATCAACTTTAATCTCAGTGCTATTGTGACGCAAAAGTACGATCTCGAAGAGAAAGGAACGACCTTGGAGACATTCAGACGCGAATGAAAACAAATAATTGATGCCCACCTTTGTTTGTTGCTTTTTTCGGGAATTACTAAAGATAAGAAGTAAAGTCTTAATGAAAGTTCGTTCTCTTTTATACGACTCACAAATAATTGCACAATTGTGATGCAATGACAGTATCGCGGATGATAAAGTATACGTAAAGATTTTTGGCAGATCAAACAAAATCATAAATAACGGTTCTTTGAGATCGACAGAAGCCATCAAGCATTGTCGCGATAGGATATCAATATATCCGAAGGCCCACTACTAGTCGTGGGTAATACGACGACGATGGTACTTGTATTTATCGAAGCGGCGGTTGTCCGTCTTGTCAATATGATCGGGATCATCCATATATAACGAATTATTGATGAAGTATTAGGTTACAATCAGTACGATGAGTATCATACAGTAGGTGATACAATTTTTACTTTCGTCAACCGCAATAGTTTACTTCTTCAGTTTTCAGTCATTGCACATTTGTTGGAACACCGCTGGGCATGGGCGGCAAAATGTATAGGCTAGGTGAGGCTTGAGTCTGATCTGATTTTAGCCTCAGTCAAATTATGAGTTTGAGACTTGAATACTGGAAACTTCAAGTTGGTTTATGATGCGAATCTTCTTTTATTGTGAATATTGAAACTTGTGACAGTTTCATTTTCACGTTTTAACGAAGAAAACAAAATCTTAAGCAGGAATGAACTCACTAATTGTGTCATCACGGTTCATAACAAAATCTATTATTTGCATAGAATGGTGTATAAATTAAACAAAAATTAGAATTATATGATAACACACACAACAAACTAGATATCTGATAGATCATCTTTTATTTTGTGAAGAGAATCACTTCATTTATTTTATACAGTACAATACAGTCTTAAAAAGTATTATAAAAGTTCAACAAAAAAGTCTAACTAGTTTCTTTTTATGCTTAAATGAATATTATTCTATCGAGTTTTTTTGTGCACCATTTGTTTTGATAACCTTACTACCACAGTATAAAAATAACTATAATATTTTCGCTGACCAAACTACATGTGGCACTACAAAAGCTTTTTTTCACCTGATTTTTCTAACAGCCTCAGCTTCAGTTCAAGTACTCTGTTATAATGCTTAGACATATTTAGGATTAGGTGCAAAATTTCAGACTTATAAAGTCTTGTACTTTGCTGTATTCTATTGTTTCTTTCACGTTAATAACTTTCCATTCTCTATACGCTACATAACTGGTGACTCATACTAAATTATTGAAGTATGTATTTTATATTTTGATTCATAAAAACGTTTTATTTAAAAAAAACATAATATACCAGAAGATGTAGCATGAACAGCTCTACAATCTACAATGTAAAGCTAATGTTTATTGTGTAATTTTTCTTTCATCACAGTAAGTATTTCAAAGCGATCAATTTTGCGACGTTGCGACAAATAGTATAGAAAATTCTGTTTCTTTTTGAAAATGGAAAGTATTCAACTAAAACAAACTATTCTTTGTAAATTATAGAACTTTTCACGCTACATCCTGTGGTGTATTTTGTTTTTTTTTTCTTTAATAAAACACATGGGATGATAAATAAGGAAAAGACGTCTTCATCGCATACCAAACAAAACGACTCTTGTACAGCGTCGAGATTCGATCGTTCAGAATTTTGTTGATTTGGGTGTGTGTGTGGGTATGGGTGTGGGTGTGGGTGTGGATGACTAGAATATTAAAGCTCACAGCGACACTCATCCACACTCACACCCACACACCCACACCCAATATGCACATCCATACTCTTAACACTCTAAGCCATCTAATGATGACTATGTGAGTAATAATCGAAGCCAGTCGTGATAGTCTCTACATATCCTCAAGCTTTTGCTCCTCTTCGGTATATACTGACAAGTGTCTCAGTTCAGCCTGCTCTAGCTATCCAGGAGTAGGTCATCATACTACAGTATTTTGCATTATTCTATGGTATACAAATATTTAACTTCTTAGGACTCAAATATGAAATCCGTCTGCTGTCATGTTTTTCGATATTCATCAATGTTGGGTTTTGCCATGGAGCGTTTCTTAACTATGCATTTGTCTAATTACGTTTGTCAATTAAGCACATTACTTACTTTTTAAATTATCTTAAAAAGATCAATTTCTAAAAAGTAATAGTCAGAACTAATAGATTGAAGTTGTCTTTTCTCAGTCAAGAGCTGCGTTGAATCGTATTCGATTGATAGTGGACTAATAGTCAGAAGACAAAATAGTGAATAATAGAATAATGTTTTATATAATATTTTGAAGCACACTATGTAATAATATATTTTATCAAAAGATAAACTAAATAAGAAAATTGTAATAAGCGAGGAATAGAGTTGAACAGAAAACTAAACTACTTTTTCAGTTGCGAGCTATCTAGAAAGCGAATATAAAAAGAGAAAATAAAAATAAAAATAAAAATTCAAGATGCTGAAGACAAAATCAAACTGTTAGTAGTGACGTTAGTAATCTGCAAAAACCACTTGTTTCAATTTTGAAATGAAAATGTGAGACACAAGCGTTTGCACTGTTTATCATATCGTTGCTTAACTGAATTTGCTCGTACAATAACTTGCGCTCGGCGTACATGTTGTTAAGCAGGTTGTTCCATTTAAATTAACTCTCGATGGACAAACGCCGTTATTTTTATAGGAAAATGAATACTTAGCCAATAATTGCTCATAGGTGCCTTGTTGAATCAGATAATTTATAGCATCAACCAATGCACAACATAATACTGAATTTTGTTGGTTACATAAAATACCATAAGGTTGAACATCATATGGCTGTCCAACTACTTTTAGTGCATTATTTGATTGACTAGCAACTACGTGAAGTGGAGCTTCATCATAAACGGCTACATCAGCTGTGCCACTTTGAACGGCGTTTATTAGGTTGGCTCTTGATGGGACACTTTGGATTGTTATGTTATTTCCTCCACATTTCGAATTTTGAGTTTTAAGATCTATTTCTTGAATTGATGTAGCCTGTACTACAACTCTTTTGCCGCATAGATCACTGAGTGCATTGATAGGTTGTCCATAGGAAGATCGAACGAGAAAAGCAGTACCAGTTGCAAAAAAATGTGCAAAGTTAACGAATTGTTCACGAGCTAAAGTATCCGTCTGAGTACTAATTGAAATGGTGTTCTTATCATTTTGAACGGTAGAAATCAGCTGCGCAAACTGCGTATATTGATATACAAAACTCATTTGATATATATCACTAATGTAGTTCATTAGATCAACATCGAATCCAGACGGCGGATTACTACCGCTCTGAGAGATAAACGGTGCGCGATCATTTACAGTGATAATTGTGATTGTCGTTGACTTAAAATTACATTGTCCATAATAACGGAGGCATTTAGCCGTACAACCACGATTACAATAGGCAGTGCACGATGCTTACAATGAAATAGACTCAATATTAAAACAAAAAATATTTTCTGTTATTTCTGAAAAACCTCATGAAAAAATTTTCTGAAAGTTTCATCCGATCGGCATAGTTATCCAACGTAACGAAAGAATAGAAATGCCCGGACAAAGTCTTAAAGTATAATATTCTTGTTAATGAATTAACTGTTTCTGCTACTCAAACGTAGAACCGTCAAGAGAATTTGTTCCTGCTCATTCTCATAGAAGTCGTTTTTATTTGAAATCGATTTGTTTATAAAACAAAAAACTGAAGGGTACCAATTATTAATGAAAGCTGCGATATGTGACTCTTAAGAAGAAGACTTAAATTTTGTTAACCGAAAAGGCTTATTTGCATCTTTCTCAGCAACTTTAAAGATATTTTTGATTGATTTTTATCGAGAAGAAAACAGTCGATTTGCTAAGATAAAATGTGTCTCATGCATCGTAATTTGCAATACATTTTCAAAACATGTTTTGGAATACATCCTTCAACGTATTTGCCATCTTTTTCTACAAAAGTTACTGATTTCTTTTTTAGCAACAGTGGAATATAAAACAGACACGAAGAGTGTAGATCGAAACAAATTTGAATTACCTGTATTAATGTTCGATGCTTTACTTGGCAGGTAAACGGGTATCAGAGCCATAACGATCAACAAGGCGATCACAAGCAATACAGCTGAAACACAGCCCATACCTGGTCCTAGCGTGTAATTCCAGTTTGTACTTGACTGATTTCTGAAAAAAATATCCGAAGTGTGAAAGACATTCAAGAAGAAGAACGTATTCTCTTGTTAAAACATTCCTGAGACTTTTCCTTTAAATTTATTATGCATACAGAGTTGTATTCTTCGAAAATTAATGACGTATAATTCCAGTGATGTTCAAAAATCTCTCTTGTCATATGGGTGAGAGACAGGTGTGGTTGTGACTGTGGATTGGTTTGTGTGTAGCTATCTTGCTTTGAATTCACACTTACACCCACACTCGATTAACAAAGCATCTGTTAACCACGCCTGAATATCATCAAAGAGATCGGATTTAATATGCATAATATTGCTATTGAATATTCCAAACGATTTGAGTATGGTACAAGCAAATATAGTATATCCGATTATACTGGAGATCATTTTGAAAAATGCTGTCCAGGATTTTTTCATATAAACAAATCTTTTATAGAAACCAATCTCATCAATCATTCATGTGTCGATGATACGTTTAAAGTGATAGTAAATACTCTAGTCTATGTCTAGCTAGATTGCAAACTGACTCAGCAAAAGTATATTTTCTGGTTACAAGTGAAAATAAGCGCTTCAAATTTCACCTAAAAAGAATCAGACAGGTCCGACAGGTCATGTGACCTGTTTGGACTTCTGATTCCATTTATTTGATCTACCATGGAGTATTGAGTAACTTAGCATATATATTCGTTTACACTTTCTAAGTATGACTAGCAACGCCATAAGTTGTATGTCGACAAAATGAATCGGTCATTAGTAAACTCCACTCCATTTCGTAAGGTATGCTGCTAAAGTGATTATGGTTCTACTCTATTGATAATGCTAATTTGGGATGAAACGTATCTTAATTTATTCAATCTATAAGTGTGACAAAAAATTTTTTATTATATTTCTCATTTTTAATTAGAGTGAGTGTTGCCAGAGTGTGCAACAACACATCTGCCGTAGAAATATTTTTATTTTATTTACATCTGTGTTACAATCTGTAAAAAATCTAACTAACAACACGGGTACCTTCATTTTTTATATGAACTCATATTACTGAAATAATGCCAGTAACTGTGTTTTAACTTGTAGGATTTACAACTGCATAAAAATATTGTTATTTTACTTATAGTCGTATATTAAGGAATATTTATATTTATTTGAACATTTTCTATTTTGAAAAAGAACGTATACCTACTCTGTCAACGCATCAGGAACTGCAATTTCGTAATGTGGCGATTCCTTGTAGTTCATAATTCGAATCAAAGATGTGTCTGAATCGCTTGTGTAACTAAAATAATAAAACAAAAATGAATAACGAAGTAGAAATATGAGAAGAATTAGAGATGCTCACGAATTAACATGTTTTAACTCGCTTGTAAAAATAAATGTTTATTCTGCTTACAAAATATCAAGAAAGAGTTCTTCACTAGCTAAATGAACTTTCTGTCGTACTGAACCTTAAAAGATTCTATATCGCACCTTATTTGTATTTCTTGGAAAAATTGCTGTACTCTGGTACAACTACTAATTCATTAAACACCTGAATTCTAATTTACGTCCTTATTTGCTTTCTTGTATATTGAGCTGCTATCTGAGCGTACAAAATGCGCCATAGATTACAAATGATAGCATGGGATACCTAATACGAGTTCGAATATGAATGATGACCCAGCTGTGTGTTATCGATCCGAAAATAGCTGATGAAAGTTAGAAATAGGTTAAGTTTGAGTTTTACTTGATGAAACTAATTCGTGTATATCATGGAGAGAGGAGGAGAGGGCGGAAGGAGAGAGCATCTCTCTTGGATGGGAGGGAGACATGTGTAACTGTAGGGGGAGGGTCGGACTGTTTATTTTTCATTAATTTGACACTTAATACAAAACTAAATGTCTTCCTAGAAATATCTAGCAGTTTTTGTTTTCGTGACGTTCGTTTATATTCGAACTTGAATCAGACAGCTACTCTCTTTAGGACTTAATCTACCACACGATAACATGTGCATAAAGGTGCGACACATTCCGTTTTGGTGTATGAAGAAAACGATAATTCATAGCAGTTTCCTTTTTTATTGTGATATATAACTTCATCTGTGAAAGATTATTGATATTGCAAAGAATTACCAGCACTTATTTATTTACTGAGGATTTATTAATCACGAAGATATTTCGATATACACACATCCATACATTCATCCAAAATTTTTTTTTTCTTGTCATACATATATGTATGTTGTAGTTGTTTTTTTCTTTCCTACTTCTGTCATACGTCGGACGTTGAGGAGACCTCTTCAAAAGTATTTGACAAGCTCTAGCGGGAGCTCATCCTTTCATTAGAAGTTGGTAGTATTGACGCTGCGTTATTTGTATATTTCTAAATAAAATTGTGTTCACAAGGTAGAACACAATATGCAAATTACGAAGATGACTTATGCAAAAACTTCTCAAACAACAGAAGACATTCCGTAATATCGATTCACTCAGAATCAGCTTGTCGTCTCACTTATTGTTAATTATAAAACAAGAGCAAGATCCTGAATAATACTTTTCATCAAGCGGTAATCTCACTCGTGAACTGCTGCAGTATTCAAAGCCTATAGACAATATAACAAATAGCATACTGATGATTAGCTTCAAATGGTTGGTGTACAAGGCAGATCGAAGTCAAAAAACACGATGTATGCAATATTCGTGAATCCAAATGAATGAAAAACAATTATTTGATATAGTCACCTCTACACTGCTGGTTTTATAACAATGATCACTGATGCATAGCTTTATGTCATTTCACTTTGGTGAACGAAAAAAGGAACTTGAAACATAAATTGATAGAAATTTTTTTCTTCTCCTTGGCATGAAAAAAAGTCACTTCATCAATTAATGGAGAGACAAATAGAGACACATTTGCCAGCTACCTATTATTAACGAAATATGTGCATATAATTGCATACAAGAGTATCGATGCATATCATTTTTATCCTTCACTGTTAATGTAATCGATTTTTTGTGACTTAGGAACATGTAAAGAGTGAAAAAACCGTGCGTGTATTATCAATATTGAAGATAAAACTCCGAGAGTTCTTGGTCTCTAAACTTGAAGCATTTTATTCGACAGCCAAGATCCTATGCCTTCATTTAACTCGATATTATCGAGAGTATGCGTTATTTTGGTTGATGAGAAAAAAATATTCTACTTCAATATGTTTTATTGTGATAGTTTTTAGCACACTTTTCATCAATCTTCTACAAATTTTGTTTTGCATAATTTGTGTTTGTTCTGCATTTATTATTCTTAACACAGAACACCAATCGAAAATTTCACATCTGTGTTTACGTTTTAATACAACGTGTCTATCTGAAATGCGAATCTTGATTCATCAATGTAAATTGATATTAATCGATTGATATGCTTTCCGGCAAGGGAGTAGATGGTACTAATAAATCCAATCAAAACCATGATAATCAAATCAAGACACAATAACAACTTGCCACAATGAATGATACTCAGACAATAAAAACTTCTCCACTATCTCCTCTAAATCAATAAAAATTCTCCATATCAACTTCATAAGCAAGTTATAGAATTTTCTTCGTTTGAAATATTTATATTATTTTATTTTATTAATACAGCTCATTTATTGTTCATACATAATTCTAGAAAATATATATATGTGTCAAGCAAAATTGAATATCAGTAAATAAGATGTAAAAGTAATATAATTATTGCTAAAATATTTTATAATTCTTTCGATAGGTTTGAACAAAATTCATCATTATAAGAATTGTATTTTATTATTCAATCATCGAATATACTGTAACGATAAGATAGAGGGAGAGAAGAGAGATATTATGAAACCTGGACGAAGTAGCTTACCGCCACCCTCGATAATGATGTTTATTAGCTACTTCATATATATCCAGAGTATGACTACTCTGCATACAACACATGTATATATTGAGGACAAAATTGGGATTCCAATTTTGACCGGGAAAAATCGGAATATTTTTCAATAAATTCTAGAATTTGAAAGAATCACAAAAAATAGAATACATAACTTTCACGAGTGATAGCGCGGATGAAGACGAGGATGAGGGAGATGTCCGGCGCACAGCTAGAAAGAGTCTGAGTGAGAGTGAGAGTGACTATGCGAGTGAAATTATGAGGGTATGGGTGTGAGTGGGGTGTGGGGATCGATATTCTATTCTTTCATACCCGACACCCATATCCATACTCTTTCTTACCAAACCTTTTTCTTCTACCATTGAAATAAATTTTTGAAAAAAATATGTATATTAAAAGAGAAAATGTCAACTATTTGTATCAGGTTCTCCTTTGTGTCATATGTATATATGCATATGGCACAACGAACAAAAACGTGAACAAACAAATCAACTCGATGTAAGACCTCCTTGTCAGTAGAATGAATTGATTGAATTGAAAAACTTTTGTAGATCCTGATCGCAATTATTTAGTGTGATTAAAGAAGCAAACTTTAATCTCTTCAATTTTCCGTTCAATTAAATTCATAGAGTTTCGATCCAAGAAAAATGAACATACATCGGTTTTCATATTCGAAAATATAGCTCAAAGAAGGAACTTTTTGCCGATGATAATAATCAAACTTCACAATAGAATGCATATTCCTTATTTTTCATTGTGTTTCTTTTTCTTTTTTCTCACTATTCAGACAAATTATAAATAAGTCAGGATGAAAATAAATCGACACTGCACACATAATAAAAGTCAATGGTTGTATCTTACCTATGGTAGTATGAATTCGGTGGAGTATGTATGCTTGGATTGCATGCGTTATTTCTTTAGGATTTTTTTCTTGAAGATACAAAACTATTTCATAGAAAAGCGATGCGCTTGTCTGGCACATTTCTTTTGTAAGAATATCTACAACAACAAACAAAAAGAGATATATACAACTACTACGACAGAAAAGAGCGGTATCTATCGTTTTCTTCTTCTAACTAGTATCAGTGCTATACGATTAGTTATGTAAATAATGCATTATCTAGTCTCGTCTATGTTTACATCAATATCATAATGTACCAGTTTCGACCTACTTTTCTGCTTCTAACAATCTAGTCTCAGATAGATTGTTTTTACTGTATAATAAGGAAATTTTTATATTGAAAAATAATGCTAGACTTGCATTTTGACGTTTTTCGAACGAAATGATTTTTTTTAAACATTCAAGATCGATCTCAGTAAGTTAAATGTATTCAAGTACGGTTATTATTGATAAGTCGCTAGTATAGAAATTCGAATATATAAGTTGTTTTTTGTTTAGTTGACTTTTTAAGGTATTTCATCAGACCTGCACGTTAATAGAAACAATCAGGATCGAGCCCATGTAATACTAAAAAATAGACTAATTAGTCGTGTTCAAAATCACACAATGAGAGGGCAAAATTTCTCGAAATTCCGTGATTGATCCTATATGTTCTTTTGAGAAATAAATGGATACATACAAAATTTGTTCAATCTCTAAAAAAAACTAACAATAACGAGGAAATTTTCTCAAATAATTAATTGCTTTTGAGTGGAACTATGTGCATCATATAGAATCTAATTGGTTATGAAAATCCTGCAAATAGGTCAGGCCAGTAATTTATTGGTGGTGACATACTGAATTTTTACGTACTCTTTAAGTCAATGATCTGTTACACTTGAGAAACACCAACAAGACTGTTGTTTGAATTTCGACTTGAAACTCTGCACAAAAACAAGCCTCAACAAAAGTAGTTTATGGTAAAATTTTCAGATCTTTTCGGTGTTGTTATTCTAAGGTATAACTATGATAATAGTTTGCCTTTCGCATTGCTTATATATACCGACATATTTGATGTTGTATTTTCAGAATAGAAGATCAAAGGAGCTGAAACTTTCCTAACGAAGCATTCTTATTATGGCCTGTTTCTGTGCAAAATTTCAAGTCGAAATTCGAAAATCATTTCACATAGTGCTGTTGAGAAAGGATACCCTACCGATGTAAAAAAAACGGATTGCCAGAGCAACACGTTTGGGGCTAAAATGCGAAATTGAAATGTGTACTTTAGCATCATTAGTTTAATACAAGCACGTAAAGTGATAATATCTCTAAGAGATTAGTTGTTTGTCAAAAAACATCGATCATCAGAGCGATGATGTCTTATTTATTTCTGTGTTTCGAACAGAATTGTTTTATTGACGATCTATTTTTTGTTAACATTGTTGTTACTCGCTCGTTACTTTTCTTTTATGTATTCCGTTTTTCTTAATCTGATCTCCATACATTATTATGCTCCTTGATAAACTCCGAAACACTGATAAGCTTATTTCTCACAGTTAGAATTTGATAAGTTCATGGTTTTTTTATGTTTATTATATAACGACAGCGGTAAATCAATATATCATTATCCGTCATACTTGTCAACTATCATATAATTGCTTATCTGTTCAAAATTTAAATTTATAGCATTCAAAAACGCATTCTGCCCGTTTAAATAAGAAGAAAGGCTTTTGAATGTTCTACAATATTCCAGAATAGTTTAAGCTTCGTTGTTAATACCGTTAAGCGCTTTCTTTCGTCGCTAAGACACTATGAGAAAGAAATCTGATGCGTTTTGTCCTCGACCACTTGGGGAAACTCACTGATGTATTCTTGAACACTTTCCTCGGATTTGCCAAGGTCAATACTAGGTTGAGGACGAAGTATCGAAAAAAGTTCAACTTTGAACTTATATTCATTACTTTCCCTCAAAAAATAAAAGTGACTTGCACTAAATACCACAAAAATACAGTGTCTCAAAACAAAATAAGCTAAGGGTGTGAACTCTTTTCAGGACATTCATCACTAATTGAAACCTAGATGATGCACATAGTCTTGTCTCAAAATCAATTAATTAGTTAGAGACTTCTCTGGTAAGTCTTAGTGTTCTATTAGATTTCGCAAGATGTTATCAAAGAGATTTGACTAACGTTGTATGTGTATGATATTATTTTGAATTTATTAACTTGAGATGATATTATTGTCAGTTGAACAGTGATATCTAAGATCGTATTTACACAAGATTTTTCTTAATATTTTATGCCTTGATTAATCAAAATTTTCTAATTTGATTTATTATAATATCTGACAAAACATACTCGAATAATTTAGACGTCAAAAAGAAGAATGCGAATGAACAAGGAAAGTATTAATCTATCTGTCAAAATATGTTTCCTATTCGTATTGAAAAATATATATTATCTATTTCGTCTGAATACGAGTAGCTTTGTGTACACTTAAGTTCTTTTTTATGAGTGAGTATTATTTTTGTATTGACTACTGACCGTCTATTGAAAATATTATTAAATTGTAGATTTGATTGTTCGCATTAGACGTACTTTGTAAAACAAAAGTAGAATCCATGACATCCGTTTATGAATTATCCTCATCTCATGAAGAGATGTCTTCTACATTGAGCGATTATAAATTCAGAACATTTTTATTTATATGGCTTGATGATTCAATCGATTTTCAAGAAAATATAAATATTAAAAAAAACTTTCAATTTTTGGAAAATAATTTACAAATATTCAAAAATCTTGATGAATGTAAAAATCATATTCGATCAATATCTTCACAAGATCAAATTAAATTAATTGTCAATGATTATTTTGGTCAACAATTCATACCTGAAATTCATTGTCTTCCACAAATTTTTTCAATCTATATTTATTGTCGAAATGAACAGTGTAATTATCAATGGACTGAAAAATATACAAAGGTAATTCTTATCTTTTGATAATTCTATTACTGATCAAATTCCTGTTTGACTTTAGGTAAAAGGTGTTTATCAACAATTAGATGATTTGTTCAATAAAATAGGATATAATCGATCTAGAAGACAAGAAAATAGACGTGATGAACAAATATCAATCAGTATTTTTAATTCAAATAATAGTTTTGAACAATCTACCACCGGTATTGATGGTCGATTCGTTCAATATCAATTACTAATTGATTGTATTCTGAAAATGGAAACTATTTCAACAGATAAAAGTGATTTTATTTCGAAATGTCGAGAATGCTATAACGCTCAAAAGGCAGAACAAGACACAATCGATTACTTCGAAAAAAATTATGAATCAGAACATGCATTATGGTGGTATACGTTAGACACATTTCTCTATCGTGTATTAAATAAAGCACTTCGTACTCAAGATATTGATTCACTTTATCTCTTGGGTTTTTTTATTCGTGATCTTGAACAAGAACTTCGACGACGTCGACATCCGTCACGTATTCATACCTATCGAAGTCAATTGATGTCTATTGAAGAAGTAAACTTATTGGAACATTCAACAGAACAATTAATTTCGATCAATTCATTTTTTTCAACTACATTGAATCGTAATAAGGCTATTTTTCTTCTCGGTGAACCTGATAATAATAATCAATTGCAAAGAGTATTATTCGAAATCGAAGCCGATCCTTGTCAAGATGGTATAAAACCATTTGCTGACATTTCAGGCATCAGTAAGTTTGATGAAGAAGAAGTATTAATGATGTTAGGATCAGTCTTTCGTCTAAAAAGTGTTTCTCGTGACGAGAAGAAGCTTTGGCATATTAAAATGAATTTATGTAGTGATAATGATTGTGATTTACAAAATATCTTTTATCACATGAGACAGCAATATGGTTCGAATACTACTAGATTAATCTTATTCGGAAATGCTCTTATTGATATGGCTAAGTTCAATGAAGCTGAGAGATACTTACGTCGATTATTACCACAAATACTTTCTAAAGATAAAGATGTTTGTAAATGTTATCATGCTCTTGGAAAAATATCATGTGAAAAAGGAGATTATAAACGAAGTTTAGATTATTTACGGAAATCTCTTAATCATCTACCAAAATTAGAATCAAATGATTCTCGAATTGCATATATTTATACTAGTATGGGTGAAGTTTATCAAAAGCAAGGTAAAATTCAGCAAGCATTAGAATCATTTCAAAAGGCATTAGACATTTTCAAGCAAACATTTTCCGATGATGATGAAAATCTAGCTTGGTGTTACAATAATTTAGGTATGATCTATCTAGATCATAAGAATTATGATCAAGCCTTGTATTATCTTAATAAATCATTGAATATTAAAACGAAAGTACTTCCTGATGGACATCCTTGTTTAGCTAATACATATATTAATCTTGGTAATGTACATTATTATCGTCATGAATATGATCATGCATTAGAGAAATATGAAGTATCGTATAAAATTTTTAAAAGATCTCTTACTCCTCAGCATCCTTCAGTCGCAAGAGCACTCAAGAATATAGGTGTTGTTTATGAAACTAAAAAGAATTTTATTGAAGCAAAAAAGAATTATGAAGAAGCATTTAATATTCGTAAACTTTTTGTAGCTGAATCACATCCTGATGTGATTGAAATTGGGAATGATATTGAACGTGTATCACTAAAAATCCAATAAACATTTTATGATTCGATGAAGCAACAATACAATATTTACAAAAAAGAAACATGAATTAGTATATTTTGGATTTAAATCCTTTCTTAGCATGAAATTAGAAAAAACGATTTCATAGAATAGATATATAAAATGATATTATTGTAATCCTTCGAGCTCTTCATGTTTTGTAAAAACTGTGTTCGGCCCGTCACAGTATTGTTCTTTTAAATATTGATCGTTTTTTTTTTTAATAAATTCTATTCTTAAATACTTTCTCTAACTATTAAACGTAGACTAGTTTCAAGTATTTCTTTTCTTATATTTGCTTATGTTAAGTCGTAATCTAATCAATATAGTAATTTATAGATGATTATTGGGACTATTATAGTATGTTATGTCAATTATATGATCCAAGGTTCGATTATCATAGAGTAAAATGCTATTATCAACATTACTAATATCATATATCGATACAGTCATTTCACTATTCGAGAGAACATGATTTATATTGATTTATTTTTGAGATTTATGTATTTTTTTCAATTTTCGTTACTTAAGAATTTCTGTTAATATGAGGATGTTAAATGCGAAGAATGAGAAATGTTTTCTTTTTCTAATTATAGACTCTTCTCGTGAATTTTGATCTTGATTGATTGAATAATAATAACACAATCAAGCCATTAGAAATTCTGAAGGGTGTGGGGGTAATTGTTGGTCTTCTTTACAGCAACACCCACACCCCACACCCACACACACCCATATCCACACCCAGAAGTAACTAGCAAATAACAATAATTTAAACAAAAACAGAACAACAGTAGAAAAAGAAAATTCTGTTAGAAATGTAGACATAAATAAGACAGATTATTTTTATACCTATCGATTATCTTGAAATAAAACAAATACGATGTGCCACAGTTTTTTCACTTTACATATTGTGTATTAGTATAATCAAGTTAAAGAAACTGAGTTCTATATTTCAGCCCCTAAGGGACTTCGCCAATAAGTTGTTTTATCTATATGAATTAGTCACTCCATGAAATGGCCATCTCTCCATATCGAGAATCACTTGTGGATACACCAAGTGCCTGCCAGACTGCTGGAGATCCATCAACAATATTGTAACGGCACGGAGGTTGTCCTGCATGTTCTGCATCACATCCATTTACTGAGTCGCATTCATCAACGACTACTGCCGTTGTCGTCTTACCATTGCCATTAATGGTAATTGTTTTTCCACATCGTGATCCCCCATTGTACCATCCTGTTGACAAGGCGACAACACGCTGTGAATCAGGATAAAAAGCTCCAAAGCATTCACCTGCACCACCACCATCACCACCTGCTTGGAAACTGTTCAACGTGAGTAAAGCTGAGCTAGTTGGGCTAGGAGAGCATCGATACTGATTATAAGTTTTTCCTGCTTGACAGCAGTCGGACATATTGTCTGTGTTGCAGTTAGTGCTAGGAAAAAATAAATGCATCATGCGCGAAAGAGCTATATAAAATCATTACCTTGTGCCTTGCAATACACCTGAAGGTGAACAGGTTCCAGAAGTACCAGAAGTAGTACGGACAGTAGTACCAGCAGTACTACGGACAGTAGTACCAGCAGTAGTACGGACAGTAGTACGAACAGTAGTACCACCAGAGGACCCAGTACCACATTTTCCGTTAACACAAACTAATGATCCATCACAGTCATTTTCAGTTTGACATGGGTCTCCACAACAATGCCCTATCCATGTACACGGTTGGTTGCATCCTGTACCGCCAGATGTGCCACATTTTCCACTTATGCAGATCATAGATCCATCACAATCGTTCGCAGTTGTGCATGAATCGCCAGCACAATGTCCAGGCCATGAGCAAGTTGCTCTCTGTCGGATTATGTGTGATTGACAAGTGCTCAAGAAAATTAACCCGATAAGAAAGAGTATCATTGGTTAAATAATAATTGATCAGAATATCTAAAAAAGCAAAATAGAATTGAGAAATACTTGTGATTCATCGTGCAGAGACGCTACAACAATGAGATGTCATTGAAATTTTTGTTGGTTTCTCAATTAAAGAGAGGATGTGAATGTATGTACAGCGATAAGCACATCACTATCCACACTCGCACGTGCGCCCACATGTTCACTTGCACGCATTATAATACATACATTTGATATTAGTATCAGTTAGGCTTTTCTTTGTATAGTGGTATATGGTATAGAAAGAGTTGAAGATTCAGTCGAGGATCAAGTAAATCGCAACAACTAGCATTACTTCTAACTTGTAAACCGTTAAAATGGAACATAATAATTATTATTACATTAAACTTTGATATCTACAAAAATTATTCATGTTAGATTAGTTTAGATAACTTTAATGTTAAAAAGAATCTACATAGTCGAGTCGTATTCAACTACTATATATCTAGTGTGACATAAAATTGTCATATACGATAGCTGTTTAAGTCCTATAACTAAATTGTGTTCATGTTACAATATTAAAATGCCTACGATAGCGATTGTTAGATAAAATCTCAATTAATTAAATAATACTCTTGATGATTCGACGTAGTCGTAGTATTGACATCTACGAGTACGCCTCGACGTGTATACCCATCGTCGTTTATCATCGTACTCATACATGTTTCTTTCTATTCACAGCAAATAACGGAAGAAAAAATTTCGAAATAAAATAGTACATACGGTTCTCTTTGATGATCAGATGATTTATACAGAAGAAAACAAAAATATATGTATTTGCAAATAATAGTACTTATATTTCTCTTGTAATCGATGAATAAAAACTAAGCTTATGATTCCTCTTTATATATGATTTTTCAAGTATTGTCATTATAGGAAAATTGTGGGGGGAAAAAAGAAAGTCATGGGAAAAAATAACAATATGAGACATGGAAACAGGGAAATTTCTCAACCGTAACCAACAAATACATTTTGAGTCAATGATGACGCATAAAAAAAAGAGAGGCATTAACATTTTTCTTTTTTTCATTTCTGTTGATTTATCATGCACATGTGTATGTCAAAGCTGAACGATTGTATTTTTATTGTGAAGTGAGAGTATATCCTTTGTTTGTGTTCGACTATTTTGTGAGTTAACATTAAAATGTTTGTTTTCTTGGATTCATTTAGAAGATATATCTTACAATGTAAAAAATAAACGCATAATGATGATAAGTCATAATGAAAGCTTTATCTTGTCATGATCATCGATGCTCTCACATGCTCTGTTCAGTACTCATCTCTAACAAAATGGGATATTCTCATTTATTCATTGAATAAAGTAAAAGCAAGTGTGTAATATTTTCAAATAGTTGTTGATTTAAAAAGATAACTATAAACTACAAGACTATTTAAACAACAACAAATAACAATCCTCCACAATAAAAATGACTTAATGAATATTTTTATTCTATTACAGATGCTTTGCTACGGTGCCTGTTTATGGGTCGTTTGTATGCCGTATTTTGTCGTAAATCTGGCCCATAATTTACGACAATTGTTACGACTGAGATTAGATGATCGCCAATAGTCGTATTTTCGTCACATTCGAGCCATATTTCCACCGTATATGAACAATGTAAACAGTCGGATACCATCACTCTCAATTGCATTCATATGAGTTTCTGCTCATTGAAGAATCACTGGTCTTCAAGCTCTATAGATTGGTATAAGTCGCTAATAAAACGGCGTTCAGAATAAACCAGAGCGCATTTTATTACTACCTATAACAATTCAATTAAGCAAATACCTTTTTTTCTTTTTAATACTTTGAGAAATGAAACTTCCTACATTTTCAAATTTCATGATCGATATTAAATCTCACGATTCAATCATTTTGATGTCGAGAAGATGCTTCTCATTGATGTTTGAATGAGATTTTAGGTAAAATTAATAGTTTCAGCAGTAATTTCTTAACAAATGGAACTTTAAAATCAGTCCCATTGTCTAGATACTTATTGTATAGTTGGAATTCAAATACTCTCACTGGTCATGTTACATACGAACAATATTTTCATAATGGATGATAAAGTTTTCTTCGATGGGTGTGAGGTGTGTGGGTCTATCGCACTTCAAAGGTCTGTACACATACCCTAATTGATATTGCTTACCCTATTAGTCGAGCAAGTGAAAGTGGATTGTATTATTCAAATCAAGTTGTTTCTGAACTAACAGCATTTGTTGTACAACAAAATAATTATCTACCTCCATCATATTATGATGAATCTGGTGCAACATTATGTCTCCGATGCGGTAAAAGACGACAAGACTTTACAACTACATATTGTCCATTATATGGACAATCATTTGATGAATACTAAAGCATTTCTTTGCTATACTTAACGTTAATTAGTTAATTAATTTTTTGCTTCAAAAAGAGGATTTTAGCTTAATTTATTAATTAATATTCTTAAGTGTATGAAAGGCATCAGATCACGTTATAGATAAAATGTTAACTTGTAAATTCTTATCGAGTTTGAGTCAAAGCGTAATGCAAGATTAGTAGAATGTCAAAATTGCATTCATTGTAGATTGTAAGAGAATAACAAATCGAGATCTCATATATGGCAACAATTATGTTTAAAGAATACTTATTACAAATGAAAGAGAATTCACTCATTGAGTTGATTAACTCAATTTCGTAGTATTTATGTTACAATGTAAGCATAACTCAGCCTCTACTCAAGCATTGGCCTTCTTACTCATTATGATAAAAATTCAAATTTTTCAAATGATCTTAATTAGTATTACGTCTGAAAGGTAAAGAAAAAACGTCTCTTTCAATAAAACATATCCTATTTTTTTTTCTTGTTCTATTGATTTTCGTTATGTGATGTGACAGCACGATGAAAATGCAAAATGATGTATGTCTCCATGAGATTCGAATTGGTCAGAACTGCCGGTAAACCGTCGGTAGATCGTTCAGTATAATTCGTGTTATACCGGCGACTATTCAACGGTTTTGACAAAAAGTCGACGGTTGTTGGATACTTAAGCGATTGACTGTCCTCTAACTACCATTCTACCGCAGTATATCGATACTTGTTCTCTGGCCGGCTATCTACTGCCAGTAAATCGCCGATTTTTATGAATATTGCAATATACCGGCAGTAGTACGAACATGCGTGCTACATGCATGGCGATTAAGTACAAAGAAACGAGACAAATTTATGCTTTTTGTTCTTTTCTTCTGATAAAAAAACTTATTTAAGTTTTTCTTTCATTATATTCCATATATCAATCAATGCTTTTTATTATTTAAGACAGTTTATTGATTCATTGATTTGTTATAGATTAAAATGACAACGTTTGATATAACTACATTATTCTAACGAATAATTTTCATTTTTTTTCTTTATTTTAGTTTGATTTAAATAAAAAGAAATGATCAGGTTTCTTGTAAATATAAATTCAATTTATGTGCCAACGGTTCGAAATAAGTCAACATTTTTTTATTTAAAATAATCTTTAGTTTTTATCTTTGAGCTGAATGTTTTAAATCAAAATTTGATTTAATATATTCAATTCATCAAAATGATAACATTAATTAAGATAAATTTTCAGAATCAACTAATAATATTAATTTCAGAATATTAAAAAAAAATTATAACTTTACCATTTTTTCGGTTTAAACATAATATGTGTAATCGTAATATTAGCAGTGCTGGTATAGTAACAACAATTAATTGTTTTATGTGGGGTGTAGGTGTTAGTCGTCTCTTCACCCACATCCCATACTCACACCCAATGGTCCGATATGATATCTCTGAAGATATTCTGGACTAATGAAAAGAGATTTGGAGTTAATACTCATTTGAGTGCTTCATGTCTCAACTAGATTTGACCGACATGACTTCATTATCTTCCAGAACCTAATAAAATGCTCAAAACTTGTGATACTCGATCGAGAAAAGTGAACCGGACATGAAAATTTGAACTTTCGAGCTTACATTTTACTTTACTGTTGACTCAAGATGTTCATATTTTGTAATATTTTTCACACAACGATATCAAGCCATATCGATCCCTATTCTAGATAGAATCGAAAGTTTCCAAATCTATGTCTGTTATGCTGATGAAAACGTAGAGATTAATTGGCATTCGATCTTTTTTTTATTGAAAACTTTTAAGTTTAAAACATTATCTGCTTCAGAGAAATTCACATGATACAATAACGATCTATATAGTTTCATATTCTTCGTGATATTCATTCGGCTCATGCAAGATCATCAGGTTCTGTTGTTGCTGCTTTGATCCAATTTCTCCGCTGTACTAAATGCAAGATTCCGAACACGATTGCCATCATCGAATAGGCTACCGTGAATCTCCATCCGTCATCGGTAGTCTTGATCAATAAATCCACAGAACTAGCATGAATAACTCCAAAAATGGCAAGTACACCTGCGAGTATTGACCATACGGCCGCTCGGATAAACTTCCGGTCGATTGCATAGATTAAAATAGCCGTCATAACAATACATAATAACAGTGAACCACCTGAGAAATTAACTAAACCTTGATAGGAGAAGGTTGAAATCATTGAAGTCACATTGGGAGAGAATCGAACATTTGCTACAGTGAAATTCGAATAGCCAGCAGAGACACTGGTGACGATAGTGCTTTGTGCCCAGTCAGCAACTACGGGCATCAGACCAAGTAGAAATGCTGGATAATGACGTCGAGGAATAACAGCCATTGTATCGGCACATATCAGCAAACCAATAAAGATCTATGACAAAAAAACGTGTTTATCGATCAAGAAAAACTATACAAATAGGAATGCTATTTTTCTAACTTCAAAAATGATCTCCGTGTTAAATGCCAGTTTTTGAAGAAAATGATACGAACACCACTGGCAAAGTCATGTAGATCGAATCGAGTCGACGGTTCTGTTGGTCAAGCTCATCTTTTATGGGCTCACTAGTCGTACCTGAAAAGCCATAAAATCAGAGTCTCGAAGAATTACGTATTTATACCAATTATGCTCACTAGGACTCATACTAATGCTACTTATTGCGATAATATATAACCGACTCTTTTTCATTAAACTTTTTTATTTTCTTGACTCTTATTCTCTCCGCAATCATCTTTCAGGGTTTTTGAAAACTTACAATGATTGGACGGACTGCTACGATGGCGATGATAGATATGATGAACGCACTGATGCCTAAAAAGCTAATGGGTAGAAATGCAATACCATTCATCAACGAGTAGCCTTGTCTGGCTCCCATCTTTTTCACTACAGGGTGACCGATGTAACCTAAATAGACTTCGGTAATATTGTTGGTTAAAAAGAAAATTTGCTCACTTGTCATACTGAGAATTGAACCAAACAAAGTAGAAATGAGAGTTCCTATTCCATCAGCAAACGTAGCTTCTTGAGTGGAGTAAGAGTCTCCAGCTATTCTAGCTGATTCCACACATTGAATCGTCACAACAGCGTTTGCTACAGCCGCAGGAATTGTTGTTGCAAGATGTGGCATGATTTCATCAATATGTCGGAACACTTCTCTAATTGGAAAGCTTATCGAGTAACCTTTCATCAGTTGAATCGCTTCACGTACTTGTGTGATGTCATTGAGCGATGTGATCCAAGCAAAGCCTGTGCCTATCACAAGAGCAACCACGATTGCTGGAATAGGTCCAAAGCTAACTAAAAAGATTATGCAGTCAAATCGTTGTGAATACCATCTTATGTGGATGACTGTAAGCGTGGACGTGAATGTAAGTTTGGATGTGTGTAAGTATGTATGGATGAAAGAAAAGTCTCAAGACTACATCGACAATTAAACCATTCATAACCTGCAGCGATTCAAAAGACAGTCGTTGATATTCACTAAAAATATGTTGCACCTTATCAGGACTTAACATAGTAAAAGCTCCATCCTTTGGACACTTTTTATAGACCGCGTTGAAGATCTAGCTTAGAAAAAATTTTACGAATTTCTGAGAAAAGTGAAAGTGGATTTTACTTTTTGAAAAAGCCGTTTTTAAAGAAAGACAGAAAGTCAAAAGTATGTTTAGCGAAATTCTACCGAAGACCCACGATTATAAGGTTATTCAAGCTTCATAGAAGTGCATCTATCACTTCATCAACTCGATTATACATTCATTTACTTAGTAGTTTCAAAGAATATTAATCAAATGCTCTCTGTTTAAAAAAAATTACTTTTCACAACTAATCTGTTAAAAATCGATTCTTTTTTGACAGCTTAATATTTCGATAATGAAGCATTCGCTTTAGTAGAGGACTTCCATGCCTATTACGAATCGTTAGGGCTTTTCATGAACGGAGGTTGTGGATATGGGTGATAAAACCAACCACCATTATAGCTACACCCATACTTTATCGTCTAATTTACAGTGCAGTCATTCAATCAGATTTGGAGTTCAGTTTTTTATGTAACTTTTCAGAAAAGACCTATGATACGGAAAACAAAGAAAACTAATTCATACCTTCGCCAAAGTATCCAAGCACGACAATGAAAAATGGAACAAAGGACACGATTGGCTTGGCAACTACTGGTAAACACTCGTTCATCGCCAAATAGGCAAATCCCAAGCCAGAAAGCGACGAAAGAAGAGCCACTGTTGGCGTATTTCGTCGAATAAATTCACCAACAATACAAAGAAGAAGGAGAATGACACTAACTGCAAAATTGCTTGTCAAAGCCACATAGTATGCCAGCTGTTGGCAATGAACCTTGTTGTTTGTTAAAATACATTCATTGTAGATCGTCAGAACAATGGCATAAATGAGGGCAAATGCACCCATTGTATTTATCCCGTACGGCATAGCGCATACGTCTCCGCGTTGTTCTTTGTAAGCTAGTTTTCGAGCCATATAAGCATAATAAAAGTTTCCCCATAGCATGCCCAAGCCCATTCTAGAATTATATTCAATGTTTTTTTGTAAAAATTCATCAACATAATTGTTGTTCTTCTCGCTTAAAAACTTGATAAGTGACTTAATTAAAATTTTAATGCTCTGTCGATTAAATGACCATAGCAAAGAATACTATTATGCCAATCTAGCACTGGTTTCAACGTATGGTCTGATTTATTTTTCGTTCATGTACTATAATTGTTAAAGTACTAATCAAGAAATAAATTTTTATTCGTTTTCGTACAAAGCTTATTGTTTTTCCTGTTACAACTCACCCTGGTACCATTTTTCCATAGACAATGTCGTTTCCCAAAATCGGTTGAGCAATTAGAATGATCGCTAACAGTGTGGCCACATTGTTAATGAAGAGAACGATAAAGCCGTCAATATCACCCCTGACGAAGATTGGATATTTGGGATTCACTCGAAATCCACTTAACCATTCCTTCGGATGAAATGTTATCAATGATTTTCGCACATCCCATATCTGTCTAAGGTGATGAGTGAGAAATGAACGTACGCCTGGAGCTGTTGCGAGATCATCTTCAGGAATAGTCATTTCAAACGATGTTGGGTTATTCACGTCTACAGTAGTCCGATGCATGACTAGGTTAAGAAGTTATCTTTCGTTTCTTTCGACCTATCAATTACGAGATGAGATAAATCTGAAACTGAAAGAAGTTAGGATCTATTTGTTTACTTTGATTGAATAAAGCCAGTTGAAAACTAGCGGCTATTTTCATCGCAGATAGAGATGATGTATAGGAATGTGTAACAACGTTATGTCTTAGTCCGATCGTATGGGTCGTGTTCGGAAACGAAGTTCATCGATTTGTGTGAAATACAATTGAAAATGAGTGTTGATGTCGATAGTCAGAAAAGGAAACGCTCCATTTCGACCTGCTGCTCAGACTATGAAAGATGCATAACATGTACAAAGCTTTCAATTGAGTCACAGACTATTGCATGTATTGCGAAATAGTTATTCTATCTGATCCTCAAGCATAAAGTGACTGATGTGGGTAAGACAGTTTTTAATGAGTGGAAGAGATCCACAATGTTCTAAATTTTAAACCTTTATGATTTACGTTGCATATTGTTCATAGCCTATATTTGTTTTAAATATATTGGAGTGCAAAAAATACCTACAATTTGCCTTCAGAATTGTTTTTGACGTCAGAAGTGAAGAAGTGGGAACATTCTTATTCATGGTCGATATGCGCATTATACGACATCAGTTTTTGTATATCGATATAGCAGTTGCACCAACCGGTCTCAGAGTTTCACCAGCATGTAATTGTTGCTAGAAGGTATCGAACATCGTTAAACTTGAGTTGTTTAGCAATTGAACTAAATAGTAGTAGACGCTTTCTTGGAAACAAGATATCTAAACTTGGTGAGTACAGTATTTGTTTTCTAATAAAACTGGATTAAAGCGCTCGAATAGTATGCGCAAGCACGAGCTATATATCCAGTAACATAACTTAAGTCAAGTAGCTAGAACTGATGACAGAACAACTTTTATAGCTCAGACTTTGTTGTTGTAGATGCTATATATGGAGTTCTACGGCAATTTGAGATAGTCGATTTATCTTATGTCTGCTTTCATTACCTTTCTCACAGGATGTGAGTGTAGCAGATCAGAAACAGACACCTCGATTGTTCGTAGTTTAGACGCCAGATCACGTTAACATTGAGTAATTTCTTTGCAAAACTACAAGTTTAACAAAACATTTTACTATCTGGAATCGTAGAGCAATACAAGTTCTACACAATGAAACGTTGTATAGTTCTTGCTACTATTTTATTCAATTATGACAAGCTGCACAGTCTTTTCTCGCTATGGTAACGGCATATACAGAAAACATACACTGCAATCACCAGTCTCATAGAGTATGACAGACATTGTGACATGCTAGTTTGCATTTTAGAATCATGGAATTAGGATTTTTAGAGCGTGAATTCAGAGTTTTTAGTTTCGAAATCCTGCAGCACAAAGCTTAAGTTTTACTCTACCCTAAGCTCGGATATGGCGGTAAGTCAAATGTTTTGACAAAATGTATATGCACTTTCCGAACAAACCAAGAGACTTAAATTAACGGAAAATGATCCGATTGAAAAGTATTCGTACCTATACTCAACTGACACTTTTTCATTACATGAGCATCCTGAACTCAGAACTTCTATTAGGCTAAACAATTCCTCTCGTTAGAGCAACTTGTACATAATGACTAGCTGCTACCTTTGCGTTTCGATCATGTTCGTAGCGCGTAGCGTAAGAATTAACGAGTATAAGCGTCTATTTAACCTTCTTCAAGTTACCATTGTTTTCATTCGTTAGGTTGCGGCTGCCTCATCTGTGTTTGAAAATGAAAATGCCGACAAGAAAATGTCAAGAGCAAGAAATGGCAACAGAAAAATGTTGAAGCAAAAATAACGAAAACTTAAGTGGAAACTTCTGAATATTTTCTCTTATAGAAGATTAAAAAACGAAGCAGCTGAATTCAAATTAAATGTTTATTAGTGAAAAAGAAAGAATAAAATACAATCAAACATACTTTGAAATATTAGCTTATGTACCCTGAATAATGTTCTTATTGTACAAGTGTAAGTTTTTTTTTCTGCTACAATAAAAAGACAAGCACAGTTGAGGAAATGAGATGCTATAATGAGATAATTATTAAATTGATTATACAGCCTATTTATTCGATTTTGTAATATTGATGTTCGTTTTATTCCGTTTCGATGTACTCGACGACAATTGCAGAATAATATTTTGCACATATGTTTCTTCTGTTCTCGTAAAATTG